TTATTTACAGACCGCCACCATATAACTGGAATATTGCTGAGTGCTGCGTTAAACAAGAAACCAACCGACCATTACTTTCTAGGACCCTTATATTGGCTATAATGATCCTTAATATTACTAATTGGGGTCCCCTAGACCTTCTTTCATACATCACAGTGGAACCCTGCACTATGCCTTTGTTCTTTGATTTCTAAGTTACCCTGATGAAGCCTATGCATGCTGTAGAGTTTCCAGGGTACATAAATACATAAAATGCCCCAGAGCTTGTTGCTTTGCCTCAGTTTCATCCCATAAAACAGGGTTACCAGTTTATTCCGCGATATCTTTGATTTGGTAAATTATTATTATTAATAGTGATGCAAAATTATTTATTTACTGCCACAAAAGTGAGTGAGTGAGTTGGGTTTTATGCCACTTGTAGCAATATCACTGCGGGGGACACCAGAAATAGGCTTCACACATTGTAATCATGTGGGGAAACGAACCTGATCCTTTGGCGTGACGAGCTAACGTGTTAACCACTTGGCTCCCCCAGCTGCCACAGAAACAGTAAAATCTACATTCATGAAGATTATGTAGGTTAAGAAGGACAATGAGAAAGCTGAAAATTCAATTTGACTGGAAGTTAGCATGAGATTAATTATGGAGATCTACATAGTTTACTCATAACTATACACATGTCAATGTGTTTTGATGCTTCCAACATTTTGAGTCAGTATATCCAAGGTAGATTTTCCACCTAGTGAAACTGCTATTTTTCCTGTTCCACATTTGATTATTGAAATAGACAAAATATATACATGAGCTTTCGACATGTTTAGGACACATCGTCACATGCTGTTATCATTAAACATGTTCAACTTTATCAGTTTGTATTACTCTGGATTAGTAATATCAGTTTATATTACTCTGGATTAGTAATATCAGTTTATAATAGTCTGAGATATAACAAGAGCATCAGTTTAGTTAAACGCAGCGCAGGGCTCCAGATAATTTTTCAACTTCAGGAGTGCGTACTCTTCATTTTCCAAATATAGGAGTACTGGAAAACATGTAAATTTAGAGTACTGAATGGAATTTAATTGAGTATCAATAATCTTGTGTTTCGTTTCATATATGCACCACAACATTGCTGCTCTTGTGTAAACAGGTCAATAAACAATAAAACAATACTTTTTCAGATAAATACGTCTGTAAATGATTCTAAGACCGTACACCATTGCTGTGGTGCGTATCTGCTACGCTTTCTAAATTATTTCCTACCGTATCGTGCATATTTTTTATCCGTACATACGCCGATACGGCCCTTATCTGGAGCCCTGGCAGCCACCAAACATGGCACAGTGTAATAGGAAATTGTTAAACACGATCATTAACAACCACTAACGTAAATGCAACAGACCATGATAGCCATTGGTAAAATGAAATCCGACACAGACATATCTATTTTACCTGAGGGCATGTTAATGTATCCGTTGAGAATGACTAAACCAGTGTTTCTTGATGAACTGGGTCTCCCTAACTACTTCCTCTATGGCAGATTATTGGATATACATGGTCACGTTGATCTAGGATTCTACCAGGAAGTAGTAGCTAAATGTCAATAGAAACGCTTTCACGGTCGGGGCAGGCTATCAGCGAAGCCGGGCCCTAAATCATGATATAGCTTCAGATAGATTCAGTTTTGATAAGTTTTAGCAGGAAGTAGAATATTTACTTTTCCATAGCCGGTCTTGCTAGATCTCGACAAGGACTACTACCTGAGTATGAGTAAGGCTGAGAAACTAGAGAAAGTAAGATTCATCTTTATACCTGTATCATGATTGTTGTGGCCTCATTGATTAATATCAGTGCGTTGTGTCAGGAATATTTTGTACATCAATTAACCAAGGTATCGTGAGTTGGAATTTGTCAACACAATCGATCATGCTGAAAATTGTAGATGAAGTATTTTAAAGCATGAGGAATGTTCTCCCTCGTTTCTAGCTAAGAATGGTTGTTCAAGTTAGCATGTAGTAAATATCTTCATGATTTCATATTTACCCAGGTCTGTGTTGTTGGCAGGGTGAAGGTGACTTAATGACATTGTTTTAAAACTTGGCTGAATGCCAGGGTTTTAGGTTTTGTTTCTTCGTATAAAGTGTGATGTCATTTTCAGGGCACGTGTATGGAAGCTCATGGTAGAAATGACTAGAAATTTTTTATTTATTTATTTATTTTCCTTGCCCCTGCATGTGTTTGTGACATGTGTCCCCATTTTCACAGGATGCTCTTACCAAACACTTGTATCATTACTAATGCATAAACACCTGCTAATGATTTATGGAAAGAAGAAAACTGCATGCTGTCTTTGTGTCAGATAGGGATGCTTTTTTCATTATGATTTTGTTTAAATTCATTATTTGTAATGCATATAGTGAAACCTTATTGACTTATAAGGTGCCACTTGTTCTACAGGGGTGGAAATAACTTTAAAATTGCTAGTGTACTCCGGAACAGTAAAATCTCTTGCCCTGATAATTTTTCCACTATACCGGCCATTTTCTTGTTGATTTTTTAAAATAAACAACATAATTAACATTGAAAAGTCAACTGGACACCGGTACAGTGTGAAATAGAAATTTGCTTGCCCGACAGAAAAAAACACTGGACTCCGACGTCGGGCAATGGGTTATTTCCACCCCTGTTCTAAGGGGTTTGATTCCCCACATGGGTATAATGTGTGCAGCCCATTTCTGGTGTCCCCAGCCGTGATATTGCTGGAATATTGCTTAAAGCAACGTAAAACTAAGTTCACTCACTCACTCCAATGTGTTGGGTTTTCCAGACTGACATTGTCAACCAGGGATAGAAATGTAACTTTTTCATAGGGTACCATAGGGCACCAAACTATAAATTAACTGGCTTTTGTGAAAATAAGTGTGCCCATATCTTTTCATGAACCAGACTTAAAACATTACAATAAGTATGTCATTTCAATTTATTGTTAATCAGTAACCATCATGTAACCCCTGTGGACTTGAGAAGACGGATTTCCTGAACACTATCAAGAATGCAACAACAGTTTAGCTTCATTTGTCCTGGACCTATGAACCAATCCAGAAACAATGTTATCATCCCAAACAGGATTTCCTGTCATATGCAATGTCATTCATATGGTCATGCCCATGTTAAGCTGTGAGATGGAGAGTATCACAGATAAAATGTTAGATGAGATTTATTGGATTTTCAATGAAATGAATCATGGCGAGTTTTATCTGTATAAGTTAATATTTCATCCGTGTTTTTTCAATATTTACCATGTTTACTGTGCCATGGCTCTCTAATTAAGCACTATGTTCAAAAATTGTCCTGCTTAGAATACTGTTTCAGGTAAGACATAAATGTCTCATGTTTCTTGTGATGCAATCTAATTTAAGTTTATTCTTTGTGCTCACTACCTCTACACAAACACCTTATGACAGCACATGACAGTTTTTGTCAGAACTAAATTCTTACATTCCAGTGAAATGATTCACAAGAAGTCAACAATATGAAAAAACTTTCTAAATATTTACCCCACTAGTTTCAATGTGAATTCCATTCAAGGCTTTATATATATAATAAATAAATATTTTGTCAAGTCCTTAATTCAAAATTTGTAAGTTAACCATATTAACTAATAGTGGTGTTCCGATTAATTGAAATTATCGAAGATTGGTCGCAGTGACCAAACGACCAAGCAATCGATCACATTTTCTCAAAATCAAACACAAATGATTTTGGAACTACTGGTTTAATGTTTGAAACACTTGACGACGGAACATATCTTTGAAGTTGTCAGGGCCTGAAAATGTGTTTAATTGTTAGAAAACTCACTTGACTAACTGAAAAGTAATATATCTTCATGATATATCAGTTATCACCTGAATAGAAAAATCTGAAAAATGATGCTAACCAATTTTTTTCGATGATTGATCGGCTGTAATGAAACAATCATCAATTATGAGATTTTAACCAATTCCCAACACTATTAACTAAAGGAAATCGGTAGCTGAGATTGTTTAGCAGTACTAGGGGCAAGTCTTTTCTGTTTCAAATGTATACCCCTTTAAAGCAGAAGATAGATAGCTGTTATAACAGAATCAGTCATATATCTTGTAACTTTTGTTCAGTATAGCCTTTGTTAACACCTTGAGGCTGTCACCGCCTCCGTGGTGTAGTGGTTAGAGCGTCCGCCCAGAGAGCGGAAGGTCGCGGGTTCAATCCCCGACCGCGTCATACTAAAAGACATTCAAATATGGTACTTGTTGGTCCCTGCCTGGCGCTCGGCATTAATGGGTACAACAAGGACTGGTCGGCCCGGAGTCCATATAATGTGTCTGAGTGGGGTATCTCAGTGGGCTAGCACTATAAAACCAGCTTAAGTCTGGGCTAGTACAAGCAGCCGCACATACACATACACACGCATGCCTGCGTCATGTGAGCAAAATATTCTCAAGTACGACGTTAAACACAATTTCACCTCACCTCACCTCACCTTGAGGCTGTATGATTAGAAAACACTTCAGGAGTGTTACGATCCTAGTCTGATAAGTAACACTCTGATCATGCCAATTAGTATGAAGTATGTTGTTCTGACCCGACCCACAATAGGATGTACTCAGATCTGTAGTGATACAGGGCAGTGGGGTAGCCTAGTGGTTAAAACGTGCACTCATCACCTTGAAGACCCAGGTTCGATTCCCTACATGGGTACAGTGTGTGAAGACCTTTTCTGGTGTCCCCACCGTGTTGTTGCTTGAATATTGCTAAAAGCGGCATAAAACCATACTCACTCACTGTAGTGATACCGAGAACTGAGACCTAGGGCCTAATATGGGTCTCTCGGCAGGTTCAGATAAATCCCTGAATAGGCCAAATAAACTAATTTTTATTTCAATTTTTAATTTGTTCCTCCTTTAGCTGTTAAATCAATGACTATCACTTCTTCCATGATTCATGTTGTTTGTTTGTTTCAGGTCCGCGTTGCTTCCAACTTCATCTTGCATGCTCCTCCCGGGGAGTTCAATGAAGTCTTCAATGGTAAGGACAGTTCAAGCATAACAGTTACTCACTGGTTACAGTGTGATGATGATGATGATGATGATGATGATGATGATGATGATGATGATGATGATGATGGTGGTGATGATGGTGGTGGTGGTGGTGGTGGTGATGATGATTATGGGTTTGTTCCAACCACCCAATGATATTCGTGTCAGTAGGCTGTAATTTGTCTGCTTGTTGTCATGTTGATATTTTGAAATATTCTGGAAAATGTACTGGGAATAATATATGTTGTTGCACTTATAAGGTGACACTTTTCGCTGATACCCCACATCAGTCTTCACCTAAGTTATAAATGCTCAATTGATTTCCTTCTTACAGGCTGTAGAAATGAACAGGGACTTATCTTGACCTACTAACTTAGAGATTCAGGGGATCCTGCATTGTTAATTTCAAGGGTGCTTTCCATTCTTACAAGAAATTAAGCCCATTTCTGGTGTTCTTGATATTGCTGGAATATTGCTAAGTCAGTCAGTCTTACAAGAAATGTAGGGTTCTAAAAAGTTACGAATGGCTTTAGGATTCTGTATTTCAGGATTTCATTTTTAATTTAATTATCGCATAATATGATTATATTTAATATTAAAAGATTGGTACAAAGAACATAACTGTGCATCCCTCATGATGCAATATATATATTAGGGTTGCATCAGTTGATAGTAGCAGGACACCATGATCATGGATTGATCAGCACCAATATATCCTGAGTAAAACTATTTTTATCTAATATCTGAGATCCGCATCACCTCCACCCTTCCTTCCATAAGAGATGCTATTGATTAAGCTGATTTTATAAATGCTGTGTTTAAATTGACTCACAAAGTGTTAATCTGGTGATATATTTTGTGTTTAGATGTGCGTATTCTTGTGAATGAGGACAACCTGCTGAAAGACAAAGCTTCCGGGTATGTTATCAAATGACCTTGACATTCTTTAAGCTAAGTGTTTTATTTCCCAGAGTGCATGGAGTGTAGTATCTGACACAGCACTTGCCAGTCTGAAAAAAATACTGTTTTCCCTTTAAAGATGGTGAAAGTTAATAGTGTAAAGTTTTCAAAATTAAGGATTGGCTGGTGAAGCCAAATGCTTCAAGTATTCACCTGGGTTCCATCCCAACACAGGAACTATATGTGAAGCCCTGTTCTGGTGTACCCCGTTATGATATTGATGGAATAAGAGTTTAAAATTCAAATCATACAAAATCACTATGCAAGAGGTCCTTGTCGTAACCGTAACATAAGAGTTAAAGTTTTAGAGGGTCTCAAGATTCACATACTATAGGACCAAGCCTCATGGACACGAGGACGCCCATTACATATGGTAAACATCCAGCTAGTAAGATAAGCACTCTCTATACACCATCATGTTTCTAGCTATGTAGGTTAGGAATCAAGTTCTATTGCAGTACTATTTTTCATTCATGTTTATTCATCAATGTCATTGCAAGCACAGCTTTTGCAAAGCTGAAAACATTTTGTAAGTTGACATGGTGAGATTGAAGTGTAAACTTAATCTTATCCCTTAAATGGAGTAGTTGTATTTCCAGTGTGACAAGCTGTTTGGGCAGCAATAGCCTGTAATATAAGGGAACCAATGTTATCAGAACTTGAATTTGACCAGGTTCTGGGTGTTTTAGGTCCATACTTTGTGCTGTCACACTGGTTGTGAATAGAGGAACAGAACCTAGTTTCCTGAAATGTCTGATGTTGGTGACATAGTACACAGGGATAAACCTAGGATGCGTTTCTGCAACATTTCCGCATCAAAATATGAATTGCCGCAGACAGAAATTTGGGTTGCATCCTGTGGACACAAAGTATTTGAAAACCGCATCCAAAAAATACAAGTGCGGCCTAAATAAATATAATGCAATAAATATTGTTATCATTCGCCGCAATCTCGCAAAAGACTATTAAGTGAACCAGTTTTAATCCACATGCAGCAATATCCCTGATTGGTTGTTGTAATAAGTTCAGCCAATGAAAGCGTGTCTTTCATTTGGTAAATTTTGGTTTCGGTTTTCGTTCATGATCATGAATTATCATGTCTCAGAAAAAAATTATGAGCTTATTAAAACAGTTTATTAACATACAAATTAAGTAAATACATTTAGCTGAAAACTTCAAACACCCAAATCTAAAAGCTGCCCACATAAAATTAACCTGGTGGGGCACTTGGACCCTCCTATCAAGCTTTGGGGCCCACCGAAATTTAAGCAGGTGGGGCATTGGCCCACCAAAAATAATTCCTAGGTTTATCCCTGAGTACAGACATGATACCAGCAATGTCAGCAAATTGCCTGTGTTGATCCCTTGGTATGTTTTGTCCTCAGTGCTTTTGCCCAATACAACAAGGACCAGTTCACACCATGTAAAGTGGAAGGATCAGCGTTTCAGGTGAGTCCTGCCTCTAGACTGACTGTCAGTCTTTAGTCTGTAGAAGTTATAACCCACTCAGGCATTGTTCGGATGCGTGCCCATTTACACTTGTCAGAGAAACCCTGAAGGTCCGGGTTAGAATGTACCTCCAGTAACCCATGCTTGTCGTATGAGGCGACTAACGGGATTGGGTGGTCAGGCTCGCTGGCTTGGTTGACACGTGTCATCGGTCATTACGATGTTTTTGCTGGAATATTGATAAAAGTGGCATAAAACCAAACTCACTCACTCACTCAAATCCCGGATGGGACTCAATCTAAGTACTAGAATCCTTAACCGCCTCCATGGTGAGGTGGTTAGAGCGTCCGCCCGGCGAAGGAAGGCTGCGGGTTTGCTCCCCGCGGCCACATCATACCAAAAGACGTTAAAATATGGTACTTATTGGTCCCTGGCTGGTGCTCGGCATTAATGGGTATAACAAGGACTGGTCGGCTCAGAGTCAGTATAATGTGTCTGAGTGGGGTATTCATGCTTCACTGCGGCATGGTATCTCAGTGAGCTAGCACTATAAAACCAGCTTATGTCTGGGCTAGTACAAGCAGCTGCACATATTCATACACACACATGCACGTCTTCATATGAGCGAAATATTCTTAAGTGCGATGATATAACCCCCATTTCACCTCACCTTACGAGAATCGGTACTTCACTGAGAAATTGTAATGCCAAATATAACATTTTGACCACTTTCTAAAAAGGATTGTGTATTCATGTCAAACATGACTTGTATTGTCAGGTTTCAAACAATTCTCAGCTCTTATGAGTTCACTATTTTTCTGTATTCTGAATTATAACACTACATGCTCATTGTTTGTTTACAGGCCCTGATCACAGAGCTCAGCGACCAAGGTGAAAACCGCTTCCTTGATCCCAGAACAAAGCAGTCTTTCAGGTAATCCATTGTGTACTTCTGGGATCAATATGAATACAGGAATTTGTTGAAAAACTGAACTGATACTGAATATGCTTGTATGATATCATCCTCGATAATCTCCAGGGTATAAGTTACGATCAATCTCCACTATACCCTGGATGCATCATCGGGTTGGCCCGATGATTTTATTACCTCCCTTGGCTGACTTTTTATCCAATCAGGTGTCTACGCTGGGAAGTTGAGCGTACCAATTACAACTCACTTTCGCTTCTTAAATTATTTAACCGTTTAAACTTGGCAACACAATTGATGTAGAGATACTCTGAAAGAGGTAGAAGGAGTTCTTTCATATATTTTTTAAAGTTTAAGATCTGTCAATTTGTCTGTATTATTTCCCAAAAACCTGAGTGGCACTGTGAACAACCCTTCGCGACTGCGACCGCTATCTTTGTTGACACTGGCAAGCTTGGTTGTAATGGCGGCTTAGCTGATTGGCTACTGTGAGAATGCGGAGCCTGCCAAGGGAGGTAATAAAATCATAGGGCAAAGCCGCGGATGCATCCAGGGTATAGTAGAGATTGATCGTAACCTATACCCTTGAGATTATCGAGGATGGTATGATAAATATTTGAAGCTTTCTGAAAAACTTATATGGAAATCTTTGACGAATGTCCAAATATGGCTCCCTGCCCATTGTCGTCAATACTTCATACAGAAGTATCACTAGTTGTATTTCACAGCCCTATCTACATATTTCCCTGCAGAGATTAAAGAAGAATAGGTATCTATTAGGGCTGCAACGATTCAACCAGACCTCGATTCAATTTGATTTTCGATATTGGACCCCAAGTTGATCATTTTCGATTCAATTCTTCATACGAGTAAAGTCATCAGATTCATTGAACTCTCAGAGTCGGCTTGTTTAGCGTGAAATCCATTGTCAGCTTGGCGATGTCTACTAACAGCAATTCCCATTGGATAATCGGCCAGGCGTTAACCAGTTACATTTCGCCTTGTTTCAGCGCTTGAAACTGCTCGAGTTGAGTCAAAATTATGTTCAGGCTGTGTGGAAATAATTTAGATAGGTACTCAAATATCGAATCGAAATAATGATAATGTTTGTCTGGATGCTTTTGATTAATATGTACAACCACAAGGACCCTAGGTGGAAGACATCTGTGGAATGTGTGAAGCATATTCGTAATGTCCCCCCAACTTTCCAATAACCTTGATAACAATCCATGTTAGAATAAGTCCCTTTCGAACATATACAACTCATTGGATGTGACTTAAGGAATCAGACGGTCAGAATCATGATCATGGTTTATGTGTGTGCGCCATTGATTCCAAGAGACATAGACATTGCTCATAATGTTAATCACTGGTTACGTCATTTTTACGAAATTTTTACTCATGTCACATGGCAAGCAAGGGATACTTGAACAAAAGTTACTCAATCAATACGTCTGGTAGTCCAGACAGGCACCAACCACACAACACACATTCTTTGTCTTTTGAGACCGTTTGATAGGCCGACATCATCCAATTAATATGATCCCTTTGAACTGTTTTAGTTTATCTGGCCAATGCATCATGTGTTGTTTTTAGGAAAACATCAATGATTGCATACACACGAAAGTACTCTACTGAGCTCAGTTTAAGATTAGCGGCAACCTTTAATATGTGATTGGATTTACTTTAGGTAGAACGTTCAGTTGCAATATATTTTAAGAATTGGGCAAATCGCCAAAATATCATAACGCAAAAATGTCTGCCGCAAAAATATTGTGACGCAAAAATTTCTTGATTTACAGTAACAGGCCAAGATTTGATTGTGTACATATTGATGGACTCCATAAAGATTCCAGGTCAGAATTGTTGCTCTGCCACCAAACATCAGTTTTATGATACTGTATTCCTCTGTCTACAGATATGACCATCTAAGGAAGGAGGGCTCTGACTTCCAGCCAGCTAATGTGGATCAGAAAGCTGAGAGCTGGCGGCAGCCATCGAGGCGGCAATCACGTCGTACGTAGAGAACCACTATAAGTATGGTGTGTCCAGCGTCTACAGCAGCAGCTCTGGAGGTGACATCACCATCACTGCCTGTATAGAGAGCCATCACTTCCAGCCCAGAAACTGGTGGTACGTACACCTACACACGACTCAACATTTGTCAGCATGTGTTTCATTTGTAAGAGATGTTTCATGCAGTAAGAGGCGTGGTGGGCGAGTTGTCTGAGGAGCCAGACTCGTGATCCAGCGAGCTTGAGGTGCCGGGATCGAGCCCACCAGTGAGCGGGTGTAAAAAACCTTGGAGTCAACACTGACTCTTTCAGTGTTGTCACAACCCCTAGTGTACAGTACACAACCCTGTGCACTTAAAAGAACCCACGAATTCGTTGGTAAATGACCGGATGGTGGCCACATGAATATGTGCAAACACCTAGTTGCGGGTACAGCAACACACAGGCGGATCCAGAGGGGGGGTGCACCCCCTTTTGTCCTCAAATTTGTGTGCATCCCCCCTTTCTCAATAGTGTGCACCTCCCACCCCTTTCTCAAAAAGTTGTATCCGCCCCTGGCAACGTGCAGTAAACTTAAACAAAGTACTGTGACTATGTGTCCCAGTCCACACAGCTGTGAATGGATACCTCATAAGGATGGGAAAGCGATATTAATTTTGTGCGGCAAGAGTTGTATGATCCCCCAGGGAGTTGAGATTGATAATACAAAGTGCCGTTGAGATCAACATCCTATGATCGAGGGAAAAACAAAGCGCCTCGCTGGAACACGGCACTATATAATTAGATTATAATAATAAATGATTTATGCTGACATTAATTTCGAATTTTACTTAATGTATAAAATTCTATCAACATTTTAGACCCCTGTGAAGAACTGGGTTATAGTTATGTTCAGAAAACTATGCTTGTAGTAAGAGGCAACTACCAGAATCCAGCGGTCAGGTTGTCTGACTAGGTGGATGCAATGTTTCCTTATTAAGTTAAAGCTCATAATGTCATTCACTGGATTCTCTCATCCAGACATGATCATTAACAGACTGCCAGCATATTGCTGGAGTATTACTAAGCATGGGATTGAACAAGAAACCAACAATTTTGAACGAGGTCTGTGTGACTACATGCAGTAGGTCCCAACAGTGCCAACATAGACTCACAGAATATCTCTATCGGTATGTGAATGGTGTAGGTTATGTAACTGTAGTTTTACCATCTGTTGGTGCAATAGGCTTCAACACCTTGTAGAACGTGTGTTACAACTGATCCCCAGCACTGTTGGTGGTCACAGGAGGTCACTAGACTGAATTGGGTGGTCAGTCAGGTTCAGCTAGGTTTCATGCTACAGAGATGGTGGAGGACATTGTTCATTTGACCACTAGATTGTCTGTGCAGTGATATTGTACGAATAACGAAGTCATTTATCAAAATGAAGTTTTTAAGGTTCAGTTCACTGATTGATTGATAGTTTTGGCGGTATTGATGGCTTCCTAAGCGTTCAGGATTCTTATGTTGGGTCTGATCACAGGGCCATCTTCTCTAGAACATTTACACGAAGACTTTCTCAAGGTTTTTGCATTAAATCCATCAAAATAATATTTTAAATAGTCAAGTCGAGCTGATGTGTTATTAAATACAGAGGTAAAGAGGAGATGCTCGGATGCAGTTTGAAAAGAAAGAGTTTTGAATATTCATATTATATCTAAGTACTACTCTAAGGTTTTGCAACATGCTCTCTCCAGGTAATGATGCTTGAAATATTCCTCTGTCCACCCAGCAGTAAATGGGTACCTGGAGGGATGTGATAGTCGTGTGAAGAGAATTAAATTAAAAGACATGTATAAATCCTGACGCTTGACTAATTCCATTACTGGATTTTGTCCAGGGTGTTTGAGCAGATGTTTGTGTGTTTCAGGAATGGCCGGTGGCGGTCACAGTGGAGTGTCACATTCCCCTCTTCAGGTGGCAGTGCACAGCTCTCGGGGATACTTAAAGTGCAGGTAAGCAACAGCTAAGTCTCTAACATACACACCCTGTGAACATACAGGCTAGAATTGGTCTTCAGCAACCTGTATGCCAATGGGATGGTGGGATAGCCTAGTGGTTAAAGCGTTCCTCATCACGCTGAACTCCAGGGTTCGATTCTAAACATAGGTACAATGTGTGAAGACCGTTTGCCGGAATATTGCTAAAAAGCTGCGTAAAACTAAACTCGCACTGTTTGCCATAAGAGTTTACCCAGTTTCTGAGTAAGAGCTGACTTGCTGGATTGGGTGGTCCACCTCACTGACATGCTGGATTGGGTGGTCCACCTCACTGACTTGCTGGATTAGGTGGTACACCTCACTGACTTACTGGACTGGGTGGTCCACCTCACTGACTTACTGGATTGGGTGGTCCACCTCACTGACTTACTGGATTGGGTGGTCCACCTCACTGACTTACTGGATTGGGTGGTCCACCTCACTGACTTGCTGGATTGGGTGGTCCACCTCACTGACTTACTGGATTGGGTGGTCCACCTCACTGACTTACTGGATTGGGTGGTCCACCTCACTGACTTGCTGGATTGGGTGGTCCACCTCACTGACTTGCTGGATTGGGTGGTCCACCTCACTGACTTGCTGGATTGGGTGGTCCACCTCACTGACTTGCTGGATTGGGTGGTCCACCTCACTGACTTGCTGGATTGGGTGGTCCACCTCACTGACTTGCTGGATTGGGTGGTCCACCTCACTGACTTGCTGAATTGGGTGGTCCACCTCACTGACTTGCTGGATTGGGTGGTCCACCTCACTCACATACTGGATTGGGTGGTCCACCTCACTGACTTGCTGGATTGGGTGGTCCACCTCACTGACTTCCACCTCACTGACTTGCTGGATTGGGTGGTCCACCTCACTGACTTGCTGGATTGGGTGGTCCACCTCACTGACTTACTGGATTGGGTGGTCCACCTCACTGACTTACTGGATTGGGTGGTCCACCTCACTGACTTACTGGATTGGGTGGTCCACCTCACTGACTTGCTGGATCGGGTGGTCCACCTCACTGACTTGGGTGGTCCACCTCACTGACTTACTGGATTGGGTGGTCCACCTCACTGACTTGCTGGATTGGGTGGTCCACCTCACTGACTTGCTGGATTGGGTGGTCCACCTCACTGACTTGCTGGATTGGGTGGTCCACCTCACTGACTTGCTGGATCGGGTGGTCCACGTCACTGTCTTGCTGGACATGTTGTTGTTATCCCAGTTGCACAGATTTTTGTTCATGAGGTCAATCACTGGATTGATGTTCCACACTTGATTATTTACAGACCTCCATCACATGGAATATTGCTGAGAGCAAACAACAATAAACACAATGTTTATTGAGACAAATTAGATCATGATGATTGGCAGAGTTGTGTATGTCATACTTATATCCCTTTTTATTCTTCATAAATATCTCTGTCAATCAATGATATTTTTCTGTTAGCATATAATGTCATTTTTCAAATAACAGTGGCAAGTGGATTTTGATTCTTATTCAGAATTTTTTTGTAAATTACCCTATTTCACCTTGTCCTCAAAGCATTTTATGTGGGAAAAATGACAGCAGTTGAGGTCCCTTTGTGAAATGGGGCCTAGAGAAGGCAGTTAGAAATGTATAGTCATCATTGGATTATCAATAGTTATCTCCCTTGTACACTGAGTTGAAATATTACACAGTAAAGGACTGAATTCAATATACATATGTAGTCTTACTACAGTGATACCTACATAAGTGTGAATGTTAATGTTAAGTATAAAAATATACATTCCAGACCTGGAAATACAGCCCAATTACATTTAGTAGCACTTGGAATTTTACTTAACTTTGAATGACTAGACTAGCTGTCTATCATTTTCAACAGGTTCTGGTAAATGAATTCAAGGGTTACGTGATCAGATGTGGTGATGTTCATGAACATTTCATCGCAGTATGGACATGATGAACTAATGGCTCTCTTCATGTTTTCAGGTTCATTATTACGAAGATGGAAATGTGCAGTTAGTCAGCTCCAAAGAATGTAGTGAAAAGTTAAATATATCAGTAAGTTGACTCAATTCTCTAAAGTCAGTGTCTTCAGTAAAGTTGTTCTTTTGTGACTTGATTGACAGTTAAATTTCTTTCAACTGATTTCAAACTTCTTGATTGCGTTTTATTGTCTCCATTTATCCAAGATTCATCATGTTTATTGTTCTTATCCCTACAGAATGCAGAGCAAACAGCCAAGAATTTTGTAAGCCTAGTTTCTGATGCTGAAAACGAGTACCAGGTGAGTTTTAAGGGAATCGCATTGATGATCCCTTTCGGGATTCTCAGTTAGAGTAGCTCTGCAGCAGGATTGGTTGATCAGGCTTGATGGTTGTATTTCATCATACCCAGAGGCATCTGTTGCTGCTCACAGAATAAATCGCTTGTTTACTGGTCCAGATTCATTTATTGTATTACCCAATACTGCTGAGTGCAATGTTAGACAATAAACAAAGCACAATAATTCACTCTACTATAGCCTCTAGTCAGAGCTTGAGTTCATTAAATAAATATTCGGTCAAAAAAGCATGGTTGTCTCGGTCAAAGCTTAAACCTACTGACAGAGTAAAGTTCGGGCAAGATGACTCAAATGTTTTTGACACAGTTGATGTTCAAACCTACTGACTGTTTGTTTCCACAGAGAGCATTGTCTGAGAATTACCAGACCATGTCTGATACAACCTTTAAGGCGTTACGTCGTCAGCTGCCCGTGACCAGGACCAAGATCGACTGGAACAAGATCATAATATCTGGCTACAAGATAGGTGGTGAGCTCAAGAATGCGTGAGTGACTCTGTCCTCGTCGTCGCTGTACTCATTGCCGTTCCTGCTGCCCATGCTGTCGTCATGGACATTGCCGCATCACCCTCGGACCTGCTCCCTTGGGGTCGACCTCGCCTCATCAATATTATGTTTCATCGCTAATACTTTTGTAATCAATCTAATTTTGTATGCTAAGTACGATCCATGTTCAGTTTTGTATCTCTTAGCCAGTGTCGAGATTTCCGTTTTGTTTTAGCATTGCCAGTTAAGGGGACTTGTATTGCATTATATTTTTTCCCCAAATGTTAAAAAATAAGCTATTTCCATCCAGATTTCACCCAGATTATTTTGGAACGATTTATGCAATGTTCAGTTGAATGCTTCTAAAGAATTTGTCTTGTAAAAATACAGAATTGTCATGAATTTCTTTAAGTCTGTGGACTGTCTTATAATACTGATATGCTGAGTCTGCAGTTCAGCGGCCCCCGGAAGGCACAGAGATAGCATCGACTAAGTAGGCTGGCCGACAGGTCTATGACATGTTCGTGTTTGTACCGATTTGCTGCACTGCGCAATGAAATTTGATGGAAATACTCTTATATATCTTTCCCAATCATGCACATGTAGATACTTTGTAATCACAGGTGATCTATCAGAGGTATTTATAATTAATGACTTCTCTACCTTGTGATTCTGATGAAAGGATAAATTTTTCAATTTTCATGCTTGTAAAATGGTTTGTTTGTTTTTTCCTGCTCCTTTTTTAATGATGGTCTTAAACCTTGGTTCACTCATTTTGAACTTGCTGTCTTCTTCCAGTTGATTACTAAACATTTGAAGATTTCATGTTTCAATGTCAGACTTGTAAAGTAATGTTTACTTGTGGAATATATAGGATAATTTCTTTGCTATAGATAAGATATTTGAAAATGACACTCCTAAATTCTAAATTGATAAGTGATATAAGACTCATGTTTGATTTCTTTTAATAGCCCAAATTCATCCATAGAGAAAATAAACCATCGACTTCTAATAGTCAAAGTCCATGACAGTTAGTTGTCCTTTCTCAGTTAAGTTCTTGGGCAGAAGTTCAAAATAAGTCAACTTATGTTATCTGCCACACCCCCTGGTGTTTTCACGTAACCATGGTAACTGTACAGACTTCCTTGTGTTGATTTTGTTGTATCCCTCCTTTGTTTTTGTTTATCATCGATCAAAGTATGATATAAATTGTAAATTATTTTGTCTCAAGTTCTCTGTGAAAGGACTATGGGTTAAATGGGATAAAGACTAAACTCATGTAACTAGCCCAATATTAAGATTGGGGATGCATTTTTTTAAATGATTAAAAAAATAATTATAACGACATCAATGTGTTTGTTCAATGCTGTTTCAAAGGAGACTATGGTGTACTAAGCTTGTGCTGAGTTGAACTCTTGTTTACATGGATTACTACACCTCAGTTGGAGTGAGCGAGTTGGGTTTTATGCTGCTTTTAGCAATATCATTATGGGGAACACCAGAAATGGGCTTCACACTCCTGAGATGGAAGTGATCACCAAATCCCTTGGTTCCATTCTGCAAAGTAGTCTTAGAGCTAGGATGTCCGTGAGCCTATGCTACAGTATGGGAGTTATGACATCTTAGCGCTAAGATCACTTTGTGCCTTGGGACCCGGGGCCTAGATTTTCGAAGCTCTCTTAGCGATAAGATAGTCGTAAGTGCCATACATTAACATTAACTTACGACTTTCTTAGCGCTAAAAGGGCTTCGAAAATCTAGGCCCTGGTGTCTTACTGCTTGTTATAGGAGGTGATTAAGTAGATTGGTTGTCAGGCAGATTCAAGCATTGGCTCATCACATCAAAGTAACAGGTTCCCTTGAGTACAAAGAGTGATACAGCTAGAATAGTGCTAACACTAGTGTAAGACCACACTCACTTGGTATATGTAGTCAGGCAGTACCAGTTGTGTCTCAATTTCAGATGAGCCTTACCCCCATCAATGATTCTTCTTTAATAGGTCGGCTCAGCAGCAAAATTCTTGGCATTTGGACATTCAGTGTTAATGACAGACTTAAGTGTAGGCTGTTCTGTCGCAAACAGCCAAAGCAGAAAATATGTCATCGTCAATTTGGAACAGAATTCCTGTGGTAACCTGTTCAAGACAAGGAATGATTTTGACCAATCGGGTCTTGAACTGTATTCTGGCTTAATAAGAGAAGGTTGCTGTAAGTGATGCAGGTATTTCACGAAACCCAGGTGGAATAGCCTAGTGGATAAAGTGTTCGCTTGTTATGTCGAAGACCCAGGTTAGATTCCTCACGTGGGTACAGTGTGTGAAGCCCATTTCTTGTGGCGTGGAACTAAACTAACTCACTCACTCACTCACTGACGAAAGCCAGGAGCAATTGGTGCTGACAGAGACATTGAAACAGAGAACGGGGATTCGCATCCAGTCCCAGAGGTCTGGCTGGCCAAAGGAACGACCCTTCACAGCGTATTGCCCCGTTCAGCTGCTGAGTCTCCCCTGCGACTTCACATGATACATAGCACCACATAGTATACACATAAGGTATGAGATATGCACCACAGATCAATAGCATGAATACACAATGCCATTTAGAACGTGGGAGCCTTGCCAATTTACAATTATCAGAGGGGTACACAAAGTCCGTGGTCTAGACTACCAGTTGTCTGACTCCCAAATAAAACGTTAGATCAGCAGCACAGTGATGTTCACGAAAAGCATATATAGCGGTGGAATCGGGTGGTCAGGCTTGCAGACTTGTTGATGCATGCCATCGTATCACAACTGCGTACATCGATGCTCATGATGTCAATCACTGGATTTCTGGTTCGCCCTCGATTTTCTACAGACCGCCGACTTGCACAAACTGTCAGGTGATTTGCTTCTTGTTGTATATATGGACCGGGTAAGAATTGATCTTCAGCAACCCGTGATTGTAAGAGGCGACTAACGGGATCGGGTGGTCAGGCTCGCTGACTTGGTTGACACATGTCATCGCATCCTAAATGCGTAGATCGATGCTCATGCTGTTGATCACTGGATTGTCTGGTCCATTACAGGCTGCTGTCACATTGCTGAGTGCGGTGTCACACAAACAAATCAAACCAAGGCTTGTTGTAAGACAAAGGCTGCAAAATACCTCCGATCTCATAACAGGACCTGGTATGATCAATATCCTCCATCGCCACACAATTAGTCAAATCACAGAAACTGCCATTCGGTACAAACAGTAGCCGACTCTGTTGGCAATAATGGGATACCGATAGTACCGAACAGGAATAGTTATTCACTTTATAAGAGAGAGAGCTGATTTTGGTTCGTTTTAACAATATTTCAGCTATAACACAACGTGTCGGCTTGCTGTGGGCAGAAAGCGATAAGATGACGTTTAGACTTGATGTTACCACTTGTTTTATGGATTGGTTTGGTTTGTTGTTTAAGGTAAAAATGTGTCAAAATGTTTTTCGAGTTTGTATGAAGCATTTATATAAAATCTTTTACACAAGCACATTTTCATAGATGTACAGAAGATAAGTACAAGCGTGTAAGACAAATTCAACTTTCATAGTTAGATTTTAATTTGAAGTTGTAAAAATTAACCTTTCTTATTCAAAGTGCAAGAACGGAAAAGGCGAGCTGTTAAACAATTAACATTTTAGTGTCAATATTTCAAAGTTATCCGGAATTCCTTACAGCTACGAGCATGGATATGGCACTAAGACACCAAACTGTAATAGAATTCCAGGATTCGAACCCAGGATTATATACATCGGCAACACCCAAAAGGGGCTCATCTGAACCGTCAACCGTTTCCAAGGGCGACTGGGTCACCCAATAATAACTGTCCCTGAAATTAAAATCGCTTACAGTAAGCTGTCAAAACCATATCCAACATTACACTTACCGTTCCTATAAGGCACCGCAGTATATTGACGTTAACGAGTGTCAGGTCGGGTTTCAGGCGTTGTATATTTCACGCAGGTGTTCATGGCAATGTCACGTGGTGTCGTGAATACGAGTTTAACCAATCAGAGCTGACTTCCGTTGCACGAGTTTTTGGTGCGCGTTACTTCGAGACTCCAGGAAGCAGACGTGACATATTCAACAACAGTACTCGGAGGATATTTCTTCAAATAACGTGGTGAGTATTCCTTTAATTCTGAAATTATAATATCCTTAGACACTAGATACAGATTTTCTACTTTGTACGTTATGAGCTCAATAAACGGAAATGTTCAGGTGTGAATAATAAAAGCTCTCCAAGAAGGAACGTTTTCAAATGCGATTTACTATCATGCTTCCATATTGTAAGGAACATTTACGTATAAAAATGTAATGAAAGAACGTGTTTGTGGTCATATCGCGTACATTATATTTTTAGAAAACCTTTTCTCTGTTGTTGGTTATGAGAGCGACTAAGGGTTTAACGCCAGTAGGGTATGAAGAGATGGTGTTTTGGAATCTTTGTAGCGCAATGCGTGTATCGCATTATTACCCTATGTTGATGATATTTCAAGATTTGCTGCATCAGTGACAAAATTGATATCACCCGTGAAGGTTCGCTTTAGAATATTGATCTTCAGTTACCCATGCTTGTCGTAAGAGACGACTAACGGGATCGGGTGGTCAGGCTTGCTGACTTGGTTGACACATGTCATCGGTTCCCAATTGCGCAGATCGATGCGCATGCTGTTGATCACTGGATTGTCTGGTCCAGACTCGATTATTTACAAACCGCTCCCATATAGCTGGAATATTGCTGAGTGCGGCTTAAAACTAACCTCACTCACTCACTCAAAATTGATATCGGATAGAATTGAGCCTATCCTTGATTGATCCGCTTATAAAGCCAAGCTCCAGACATCAAGCTAGACCTTAGAAGTGTGATTCTTATTGTTATGTTTGTTACTTCAAGACATAAACAACTGATGCAGTTTCCTAACTATGGCAGCTAGTATCTATAGTCGGGATGGAAAGATTAGATACATTAAACAGATAGACATACAGTAAGATAGATAGATAGACAGATAGACAGACAGTGAAGTAATAAGGTAGGTAGACAGATAGATTAGACAGATAGATTTTCTTTTTCCTACAAATGTGATGTCATGAAATAATGATTGATACAGATGAAAGATTCGAATCATCAATCATACAAGTCGCTATTTATGTGTAAGTTCAATATTAATTATTCTAAGCAAAAGAATAACTTTATTAATATTATTCAGCTGTGGTTGTACATTCAGTAGATTTCCTCACAGAACTAACGTTCTGGAATCACTATTACGTCGTGTTGATGTGGAAGGCACATTTATATATGAATTGATGTCGTATTGCTGCAAGAAGCCAAAGCCTATGAACTGGAAGAACGCATATCTTGTAGTGTGTTTGTCTCTCTATTAGCAGTAATGTAGACTGTTATGCAGCGTTTGTTCATTATGTCATGGTGCCTTGTCATTATGGAATCTTTTCGTGTTGGCTGTACTGAATGGGAGATGGGGACTTTTCATACATCTATTTATAGTTTAGTGTTGTCCCAGACCTGATAAAACATTTGCTTCTTCCAACAGCTATGTGTTGTTCTTATCAGCTTTCCTTGAAGAAAAAAAAAAAAACGCTAGGGTGTTAATTTTAGAAAAATGTTATGAGGTACCATTTTGTAGCCATATAATCTTTATTCTTTGAAGGATTATTTTTTAACACGGAATACTTTATCGAGCAAAGCAAACTTATGCATTTTTATATTTCTGGCCTAAATCTCGACAAAATACATCCATAGGATTCTACTATAATATTTCAGGACAAAACTATATTGTATTACACAACACATTGTGGTAGGGTAAGGGCTATTTCTTTTAGTGATAGTGACTTGAATTTAATGGAAACACGTCCTGTTTCACAAGTAAGTTATACCTAGACGACCAAGGTGCCTGGGCATGGGTTACACACTACAACTTTCCGTGGTCACGTGGGCTCCATTCCCAGAAAGCCATGATATGCTGGACTTTCCCTGTGAAGAACGTAGTCAGTAGATATAGGGGGTGTATTTTGCTGGTCAGAATGTTCCGAGTAGCGGGGAAAGTATAACCTTCCGCATTCATGGTGAAGTGTAAGAATGAGTTGCGGGTGCTGTCCACACCCAATGATACCCCAGTTACCGTAGAAAGGCAGTTGTAGTGTCAGCTGAGATCGTCTGGACCCCTGTTTTCATATATCCGTCCACAAATGTTTCGGTCTGAAGATGAGAATATTGTGGCTAATACAATCTCCGTTTGCCCTTGATCGTTGCACAGTAGACATTGTAAAAACAGTGTAAGCTCGATAACCAACTGACTAAATATATATATATATATATAGGACGTCATACTGGTGCATTTGGATGTTTTGTATTGAACAAGAAGACGTCATGGGAGCAGAGAAACAACGAGTTCGAAGTGCACTAGTATGACGTTCTATATTTATTATATACCCTCTTGTCTTGCATTAATCTGTTACTTAAAGGTCACATGCAACCAAAACATCAAACATAATTAAAACACAATTATCACTTATTCATGACATATAATATACATTGCTGGTTATGAAAAAACATATAAACAAAATCATAAGCGTACAATCGCAAATCAAAAGTGCAATATTGTGCACTTGGGTTTGCTTCCCAAGAAACGAAGCAGCCAGGATACCGAACCCAGTCAGAGCGGGTGGGTGTGCACTCAAGTGTAACGGCTGGTTCATTTGCAGATGCCCTCACGGCTCATTGTGTGTGTATATATAGAGATGTTGGGTTTTGTAAATACATGCTCATTTTTTGTGTATAACATTTTGCAATCAACAGACATCATAACATGTCATGTGTTCAAGTATCACACCTGCCTGTCTGTAATTACATAATGTGACAGAGACCGAACTCGGGCCATAAATCAATGCATTTTGTTTATGGTGTATAGCCTGATTGGTGTTAAGTTCAAATTGCATGTGGTCAGTGATCGCAGTTGTGTATTGAATATTGTCATTAGCAGACAGGCAGGCAGACACACAGGTGTCAATAAAACAAGACATTGAGTTTTGTCTGTGACAACGACATATCTATATCACAGTTAGAAATTCTATCAACGCTAAATAATGACATTGCTTTTAAGTATCGAACTGAGAAAGTGACTCGGTAAGAAGAACGTGTGGTGAAATAGACAAATGAAATTATATAAACAGTTTATTTACTGTCATAACATATAAAAAGCTCGCGCCTGTGAGATATCAACAAAACATTAGGAAAATAGCTCACACCAAAGCCTTCACCGAGTATTCACCGGACAACCCGCTTCCAAGTTGCGCGAACCTATTTCACTGCGCACGTGCTATGAGCGCATCCCAGCTGTTGAAACCAGTTTCCCCCCGGAAAGTCGGGGGGAAAATTAGTGAATCGTTTGAACTACGATTTCGCGCGGTTTTTTTCATCGCGTTATTTTTCAACTTTATATGTTGAATTTGCATTTTTGATGATTTGTTTCGGTAAGTCCATACCGAAGGGTATCAGAATCTGCAAAGTTGTGTTTTACGTTGCATGTGACCTTTTTAATAAAAGAAATCATAGCGTAGCGGTGGGGGTTCAATAATACGGAATGTGACCAGGTCATCGTCTTGCACCTCTGTACTACTATCCTAAGTTTACATGGGTATATAATAAATGTTTGGACGATATGAAGGTATCAGTCTATCACTTTGTGCTTCTATTCTCCATCACAAAAGGGATGAAATAGAAACGACGGCACATTCTCTAAATATTCTAATAAGCAAGTCCACTTCCTTCACACTCACATTTTCCCCAGAACACTCTTTGTGTGTACAGGGTGGGATTAGGTGCGGTAGATATAGATGCATTCGGTCTTATTTTTGGAAAGCGGTACTTCGTATTTCAATGTGATCTGATTTCATAGTTCATAAGACTGTTTATAACATTAAAGTAAACTTTCAATTTTGACAAAGTACGATAATATAACTCTGCATGTTTAACATTTTGACGTCATAACGGTAAATGCTTCTGTTAGGCCATGGATCTGAAAGAACAGACTGACTAGACCTGCTATTTTTAATCAAAACAACTGTACCTATTTTCATCAGAGGTTTTCACTGCGATTTTAAGTCTCTGTGAATCTTAATAGAACATGGTGCAAAATCACAATGGAATCCACTTTTATCTGCTTTTTAATTGTTATGACGCATTTCGTTAGGATATATAGCTACGAATATCAGTGTGTTATTTTTTAGCAATATAATCGTACAGGGAAGGGAAACATCTTCGGATTTCATTTTCCTTGTCACTGAATAAAACGTAAATATCATATCTTGTTTCATGAACATAAACCATAACATAACATAGTTTGACACTAATTATGTTACTAATTACTAAAATTGACACATTCTGGATATATGTTTCTTTGTTTTCACTAATCATTATTGTCAAACAAGCGAGTCTTTATCGTAAAATGAAGGGTTATATTTTCAGCATATACGGAAATATATTTTTCAGAATGCGTATAACATTAGCTCAACTTCTCTCTTATGTCTTGATCTCATACACGTGCCTTCTCTCGTATTAAAGGGTGGGGTAGCCCAGTGGTGAAAGCGTTGGCTCGTCACGCCGACGACCCAGGTTCGATTCCCCACATGGGTACAATGTGTGAAGCCCATTTCTGGGGTCCTCCGCCGTGATATTGCTGGAATATTGCTAAAAGCGTCGTAAACCTAAACTCACGCACTCATGCACCCAAATACCCTATCGATCTCTAGTTGTGTCAGGTGTCGGAACAGATCTTGAATACCGTACAGTATTTCTCCACCTTGGCACATGGATATATCTATTGGTGTAATGGTGTTATTTGATACCTTGTGATTTCATCAAAATCCATTTCGAGTTTCCATGGCACATAGTCATATATTTACGATAAATATATACAAAGTGGGTGATATTAAAGACTTTGGGTGGCTGGGTGGGTGGCGTGTTTTACTCAACACCTGCAATATTCCTGCTGTTAAACGGCGGTCAGGATCACATCACGATCATCTATGCTCTCAATTGTGATGCGATTACATTCAATCAACCGTGTCACAAAGCCGGACGACCCTTTCCATTACGACAAGCAACCGTCCTAAATATTCCTACCCGGAAACAATATAATTGATAGCAGACATGTGCCGCATACTAGGATATAATGACAGCGTGATTGGCATTATTAAACTATACAAAACTTCAACTAGAACAGGAATTGCACCATTGTGGTAATGAATGTATCTTGAATGGACATCATTTGGAAGTGGTTGTGATTGATGAGTAGATATGAAAAATCAACTTAGCGACCCACGCACACGCACACAGGCACGCACGCATGCCCACCGCATTTACTCCGAATCAGTTCTCCCCTGTTGAATAATCTTTAGCGTGGTCGAGACGATGTTAGGTCCGCTTCTGTTCGTAGTTTAACCGAATTTTAAGCCTGCGCACTTCAGCAATAATTAATTATTTTAAAAATGTATATTAACGATAATGTTGGCTTTTATAGTCCAGTGTCTCGTAAGCCAATTCATGGCTGGATGTCAGTTTCTTCTTTATCCATGAATGTTTTTATGTAGGTACATATCTTATGTAACTGACTTGCGACACTTAAATAAAATATTTCTGTCTGTCTGTCTGTCTTGATTAGCGACTTGTACAAGCCCTAGGGAATCTCAGGGTTAAGCACCAGAACACGCCACCCTTCCAATTACTCACTCTTCCAATACCCAACGTCGCCTGATTTGTGGCCTATGCGAAGTACTCAAGACCACGTTCCAGAATAAGTCCAATATCCTCAGTGTCGATGATTGACACTATTCGCACATATCAACGCTATTCGCACATATCAACGTTATTCGCACATATCAGCACTATTCACACATATCAACACTATTCGCACATTAATCAAACATGCAAAAGTGAATGAAGACATTATTATCTTTCTTACGCATGTAACTGACGTTAGTGGTGTAGGGTTAGGATTATGGAAGCACATTTGTGCCAGTCTACAAGATTATCGCCTACGTAGAAGATACTTAAATCTATGCAAAAGATACCTTCATCTACGGATATAACATTATAGTCTTCTTGAAAGCCCGCATCGTCGAATATCAAATTATAAACTTTGGTAAAAACATTAACTAGAGTCATCGACAACAGTTCCGGGACTGATTAAGTTTACTTGTTGTTTAACGCCTCATCCAGCAATAGTCAAGCTATATGTAGGTTTTCAGTAAATCATCGAGTCTGGACCACCATTGATCAACATCATGAACATCGATCTACGCAATTGGGATACGGTGACATGTGTTAACCAAGTCAGTGTCCCTGACCATCAGATCCTGGGTGTTCACGTGTACTGATATAAGTAATTTCTGGCCTAAATAATTATGGCCAATTTGGTTGACTTTCATCCTTTATATATCTTTATTAAGGTACTCTCTCGACATTAAAATCAGTTAACTCTTCAAATATATGTGTGTGTAAGTTTTTGTCAAATTAATTTCTTTCAAGTATTTTCTTTAGTTTGACAATGTGATGTCATTCAGCTGTGTGAATGCAGAAAAAGTTCAAATGAATAGAAACGACAACTCATTGTCAAGCTTCCAGGTCGATATATAACTGCACTACTCATCCAAGTTAAGTTATAACAAACTCAGTCACACATACTTTCCTTTTTCATGTCAAAGAGTTACACAATGTATGTAATTATCAACATACAAAAAAATATAATTTCTAAAAGACATAGAAATTGATCTGATGGTGAATAAAGTCGGTTATTAAATATAATCAGGCAATTAAATCATATCAACATAAAGGCAATTATCGAAATAGATATTTCAACGTTGAAAGGCAATGCGACTTTTAATTTGAACATGATAATCGCCGTAAACGATGAAAATGCCATTACCGGAAAATGTTGACACATGACATTCAGATTCACCATTCGGATGACATCAAACTGCGCGTCCCTTAACCAACGAGTTAACGAGCAGTCGAACATCCGTGTATCTTGGGAGCATAGTTCAACTTGTGTTTAGGAGAGTTTCCAACTACCATTGAAAGCTCGAAAGTTCCTGTTGTCGCATCGTCAATAATACTTCAGCTTCCTTTAGACTGCACAGTATCTGCTGTCATGAAGATAGTATGTCTCCTGCTGGTAAGTAAATATTCACATTTCGTTTCTTTTCACTATTATAAATTTGCGATCTGTTTTCCTCATTGAAGCTTTGATTACTTGCTCGTCCTGTACGAATGATGACGTTTTCCTTTACTCGGCGTGAAATTGATATGAAGAATCAGATATGCAGGAATGTGTAGAGTGGTTATGGGTGAATTCATGCATTTTCTGAACACTGGTATAATTACCATTGTCCAAGCCTTCAGTTACGTCTGAATTATTACCGTTTAGAATGACACTGGTCTTATAACATTACAGCTATTCAACAGCTATTCACACATTAAGGAATAAACAAATATTTAGTAGTATAATTTACCGTAAATTTACCGTTGTGGAGCTATACTTGTGCCAATTGAGCTTTATGGAGGCTGTTGTCAGCAGAGAATTCAGTTCAACGCAATATACCGTATATCCTAATATACAATGTAATATCATACTAAATCGTTTTTACAATTTTCACTTGCCTTTGAAGTACTTTGTACACTATCAAGATAACGAAATGAAATCTGTGTACTAAACTTTGGTCTGTTTGGTGTTTAATGCCAAACGGCAATGCTAAGTATGTCATTAATTGATGATTGGGTTCTGAAATGAGCGGTTATTCAAGTTGGTTGTGTAACAAAGGCAATACGGTAAAAGTTGTTTTTGTCCTAGGACCACGGCCAGCGCTTTATGTATTCGCGACAGAGCATTTGTTTATCCTCGCAAGTCTTTCAGACCTGGTGTTTATTCAAGAAAGTCCTTTAATCAAGGCCACCAACAAACACCTCGCTGAACTGTGGCAGACTTTAGCCTGGAATGCGAGGCAGACACACTAGCGGTTGTCCGTATTGGCTTGACAGGAAAGTAGGGGGTAATGAGTGAGCTGATGGAGGGGATGGGGGTCTTAAGTTCAAAGGGATATATTTCATGTTTGGTAGATTTAGGGGTGAGTTGGCTGGAAAACAGCAAACAATTACTCATTTTTGTTTCGGCAACAAAAATAACATCCCCGTTTGATGACGCAAAACTGAGCCCTAATGCATGGCTGACATTAGGAGGAAACCCGAGTTTGCTGCCAGCCCTTATGATGCTCTGGATTAGGCAACAGTCTCCGGAGTAAGGAGTAAGAATATACTTCGAAACGTCGTGTCCATCACAATAAAGACGTTGACATCCATAAAATTCTTGCCTTTATGTGTATCACTTCTAAATGCCCTTCAGAGAGTCTCCGGACTGTCGATCCCCGACCGCGTCATACCAAAAGACGTTAAAATATGGTACTTGTTGGTCCCTGCCTGGCGCTCGGCATTAATGGGTACAACAAGGACTGGTCGTCTCGGAGTCAGTATAATGTGTCTGAGTGGGGTATTCATGCTTCACTGCGGCATGGTATCTCAGTGGGCTAGCACTATAAACCAGCTTAAATCTGGGCTAGTACAAGCAGCCGCACATACACATACACACGCATGCACGTCGTCATATGAGCGAAATATTCTCAACACGACGTTAAACCCAATTTCGCCTCACCTCACCTCTTGATGGGTTCGAGTTGGAAGCGCTTCCCCGGGGAAGTCCCATTCGAAGGGTTGGTTATTTGGTTTGTTGTTCAACGTCGCGCTCAACAATATTCCAGCTGTATGGCGGTGGCCTGTAAATAATCGAGTCTTGACCAGACAATCCAGTGATCAACAGCATGAGCAATCTACACATATGTGATAAGATGACATGTGTCAACCAAATCAGCGAGACTAACCAACCGGTCCCATTAGTCGCCTTTTACGACAAGACTATAGGTTGCTGAAGACCAATTCTAACCCGGATCTTCACGGGTACCCCTTCGCTGGGTGTAGAGGCTAGGGTACATGAGCTGATGATGAGTGTAACCGGGCTGGTTCGACTAGGAAGCGTTTCCTTGGAGAAGTCCCATTCGCTGGCTCCCCCACCGGGAAATTCTTTCTCATCTCCTTTGGTAGTATACAGCCCAAACTACCCGTCTCTCATTCGCTGTTGTTAGGGACGGTAGTGTAGCCCAGTGGTAAAAATATTGGCTCGTCACGCCGAAGACCAGGGTTCGATTCCCCACATGGGTACAATGTGTGAAGCCCATTTCTGGTGTCCCCGCCGTGATATTGCTGGAAGCGTCGTAAAACCATACTCACTCTCTCGATGTTGCTTCTGGGTGAACAAAGGTATACCTCCCTTGCCTGTACCTCATGTAGAAACTCACACAACGCGACAGGCGAGGCTACATACACTTCGCCACGGTGACAATGTATATATACGGACCCGATTATCGAAATTCAAATCAATGGCTGAACCATGATGTTCCTTTTCACAATGAATTATTCCCTCTACACAAGGGGGCCTCGGTTTGCGAATAGTTGTGAAATAGGTAGTTAATTAATGTTGATAAACGCCACTCCCAGTAGTATTTCAGCTGTACCTCAACAGCCAATCTGGATCAGACAAACCGGCGATTAAAAGCATAGCTACGTCATAAATTACGATCGCTTATCAACATACTAAAGTGTACGGCAAAATAAAGTTTACTCTTCACTCACTGAGAAATTGTGACACCATTTTCCATGAGACTTCCAGGGAACGTACCCGTGAAGGTCCGGGATTCAATGAACCTTCAGCAACCCATGCTTGTCGTAAGAGGCGACTAACGGGATCGGGTGGTCAGGCTCGCTTGGCTTGGTTGACACATGTCATCGGTTCCCATTTGCGCAGATCGATGCTCATGATGTTGGTCACTGGATTGTCTGGTCCAGACTGGATTATTTACAGACCGCCGCCATATAGCTGGAATATTGCTGAGTGCGGCGAGAAACTAAACTCACTCCAGGGAACGTAACCTGTTGTGAGATACTCACTGATTTGATTCGTCTAGTCGCATTACATCCGCATCAAGTGCATCAACATGGAATAACCAATCATCAGTGATTTTGTTTGTTTGTTTTTATATTTTAGCCCTAACCAATCATGAGTGTATCATTTATTTTGCCCACTTTTTTATACATGTTTATACTATGGTTTATTTCATGTAACGCCCTACCCATGAAGATTATATTTGTCATCACAACACATTGGGGTATAATATTTCTTAAAAAATTACAGAAAATGAAAAACGATTTGTCTTTTGGTACCTCTTGGATAATGGTATGCCCTCAGATAATGTCATATAAAATATGTTCAGTATAGTATTGGCAGTCAAAGATTTGGATTGCCTGATATATATTTAGTCGGGGGCTATTTTTTAAGGACACCCCCATTTTAATCTTTCAAAAACATCGTGTCCAGATATTCAAGCTGGCTCTGTTTACAATATATTGTGAGCTGACATTTGTGTGACCATTCAGTATTTAGTTTGAACCCTTGGCATCATGTATGCATAAGTGAAAACATTAGAATAAGCTATGCCCTTATGATTACGTCATCTGAAAGGGGGATGGGTAGTGTCTCCAAAACAAGCTCTTTTAGTCAACATGAAGGGGGCAGTCACTTTAACAAGCGATTGTAATTTCAAATTGCTTTTTTATGAACTTTAATATCTAAGTGTGATTCTAGGGGACTTCTATTAATCTCAAACACACAACATATTTTTTGCATATTTTGTTTCCTGAAGTTTTTGATGCATTTATTGTAGATTTTGCGTTTTTTGAGGGTACCAAGATAAAAGGTCAAACAAAATGGGGATCGTGAAACTGGAACATAGCAAAACCAAATTGCTTGAGCTTGACAGATAATATGTAGAAAAATAAAACATAAAAATAACTGCATTTGTATCGTTTTCTTGGTGATTCTACATACGTTTTGATCGCCCCTCGTAAAAGTAAACTCACTCACTCATGCAACGACTGGTACTTAACCTCTAACCTCGTATCTCGTTTACTGTCACCAGACCATGGGTGTGATCACCAGAGCAGCCATCGTACCCAAGGAAGGTAAGGAAATACCTTTTGTATATCACACTAAAGGACTGACTGACTGACTGAGTTTGGTTTTACGCCGCTTTTGCAATATTCCAGCAACATCACGGCGGGGGACACCAGAAATGGGCTTCACACATTGTTCCCATGTGGGGATTCGAACCCGGGTCTTCGGCGTGACGAGCCAACGGCTTTAACCATTAGGCTTCCCCACCGCCCCCACACTACAGGAAGAGTAGGATGTATGGACGAACAACAGGGGCGACGTTGCAGTGTAGTTTCTAACACCTTTACTAACTCTTCAATCGGCTGTGCTTTTGGCCTCATCTTAGTGGTTCAGCTTACAAGCCCAGAACCCGTGAACATTCGGGTTAGAATTGGCCTTCAGTAACCCATGCTTGTCGTAAGAGGTGACTAACGGGATCGGGTGGTCAGGCGCGCTGACTTGGTTCAGACGTGTCTTCGTATCCCATTTGCGTAGATGATGTTTATGCTGATCACTTGACTGTCTGGTCCACACTCGATTATTTACAGACCGCCGCCATACAGCTGGAATATTGCTGAGTGCGGAGTTAAACAACGAACCGAACCAAACCTACTGATGACCCCAGCACAGATTATTCCTTAACAATGAGAAAATAGTCAATAGTTAAGACGTTATTCCTGGGAACTATTCCCCACATATACACTGGAATCTATGTCCAACAGTGCCCAATCGTCACGACCGCTCCTTCAACAACGACTTCTCTCTGCGCTCCGAGGTGACGTTCAGCTCAAATGGTGACTGTACCATATTAGGGGAGACCCTCCACCTACTTGACTGTCGCTGGATCTTACACAGCGACTACGACCGCCTCTTCGACGACTACGTTCTCAACACACGACCTCGCCAACAAGTGGAGATATACCCGAACGGAGACTGTGTAATAGAAGGTGACATGGTGTTCGTGATGAACGCTTGTCGCCAACGTTTAGGGGCTCGAGAGTACGACCGTCTCTATAAGGAGAAGTTTGGATTGCCCAATGTCCAGGTTGATGAATACGGGTATTGTTATACCGGGGACATGGAGTTGGCGCCGGAAGATTGTCCGGTTTTTATTGGATATGTGCCGTACATTGTACTCATGAGTCGGAACAGCTACTCATAAGGATACATGACAACTCGTTGATCTGATGCTATGAAGTCAAGGCAGTTATCGAGCGTACATTCAAGGCGCTGCTTAATCCCACGAAAATGATTAAATTATTGTCATTTTTCCCCGATCCTTAAGACTTAACGTGCAAGTGCGTGTGCAAAAATGGAATTCCAATGCGACTTATTTGGGCATATATGTTGCTCTCGGTCTTTTTGTATTGCTCGATGGCTTCCTCCACTCCATGAGATTTCTTGTGCCTTTGTACATTGGTAAACAGGGACAAGCCTATCTAGGGATATGTTTCAGATATTAAGTGTTTCACACTAAGAATCACTAATCTTAATGTAGTTGTGAAGGGGGTTATATTGTATAGGAATATATTGACAGAAAACAGTACAGAGTATATGAGGAGAAAATGTAAAATAGGTTGAAACTTTACTAAACCAAGATTTAGCTCATCTTCGATTGTCAAATTGGTCTTATTCCCATTCTATTGCGTACCCATGTCCCAATCGCAAGTTTACCTTGGATTTAATCCGATGAAATGCTCACCACGTCAAAAAACGTCCAACCACATTGCAAGAGACATTCTGTAGAAAGCTATTGAAATGCATGGAGATGTTCACGCAAGTTGCAAAACGATGCTTAAGGAAGAAATTCGGCGTAAACTCATCATCCCTTACTCTCTTTTAAACATGTTAAATGTGGTTGATGTTTATATCATGCTCAAAACTGCCACATGCTCAATGAATAGTTCTGGCACATTAACCTCCATTCATACGAAAGCCTGATGCTGCCGCTTTTGAAACATCAAATATTTTTTAATGGTTTTCCCGTTGTTTCGATTATTCGTCGAACTTTGGGAGTGTTTTCTCGTTATTTCAAACTTCTTCAAAAACTTGAAATTTTGCTGAAGAAATATTTATGCTTCAAGTGGCAGCATTAGGCTTTAGTACATTCACGGATCACGTGCTGCGAAGATATGCAATCAGACAAATGTATGTATGTTGAACCGAGGCCACCTTGTTAGATGAATAAACTGCCTGTAATGTCAGAGTTGCGTGTGTCTGGATTCTACATCACAGTTTCTTTGTTTCACGCTTGACAGTAATTTTATAATCATGCTTCCTCATTAGACAGCCAGTCTAACAGCGAGACAATTGTTTCATAATTACTGATTGACGGTCGAGAGTCAATTATCTCACACAGTGTACTATCAGAATACAAACAGATGTGAGAGCACAATGTAAGTTGTAAGCTTGTCCCCTTGGGGACACCAGAAATGGGCTCCACACATTGTACCCATGTGGGGAATCGAACCCAGGTCTTTGGCGAGCGAACGCTTTAATCACTAGGCTACCCCACCGCCCTCGATGCAAGACAGAACGAAATTTCTTAAGTTTTGAGAGCCATACTGACTGACTGAGTTTAGTTTTACGCCGCTTTTAGCAATATTCCAGCAATATCACGGCGGGGGACACCAGAAATGGGCTTAACACATTGTGCCCATGTGGGAAATCGAACCCGGGTCTTCGGCGTGACGAGCCAACGCTTTAACCACTAGGTTACCCCCATCCCTTTGAGAGCCATAATGATGATGTTATGTACACGTGTGAAATTGCCAAACCATCTGAAGTGTCATTTTCCGGAATCGGGTTCTGGCGACAAACACTCGAGAGAAATGTTTTTGTAGGCCCACACCTTGAGTGGATCAACAAATCTTGATATAAAAAAGAGAAAGGAAACATGAATCCGGATAAGATCGGAACCATCGGTCTTAATTTAAGATAGTAACATTTGTGTTTAAATATTTGTGATGGCAAACGACTTTCGTATCATTGAATTGTTATTCTTTCCTCGTCCAATATCTGATTGGAAGGGTGGTTAACCAGCCCAGTGTTTCATGCGTTCGCTCGTCACGCCAAAGACCCGGGTTCGATTCCCAATATGGGTACAATGGGTGTTGTATATACAACAAATGTGTGAAGCCCAACTCTGGTGTTCCCGCCGTGATATTGCTGGAATAGTTTTAAGAGCGGCGTAAAAGCATACTCACTCACTGGTGTGACGTGTCGCTATATTTTGAATTATAGTTTAAACAAAACGGGAAAAAACACGCAGTGTTCAATGTTTTATTATATCTGTGCTCTGAACAAAACACTGGACGAAATGTATAACAATAACTCACACTCATCAATAAATAATAATAATAATAATAAAGAACGTGCAGGTCTGCCACTCAGACAAAGAAGGTGAAGGTCGAAAACTCTCCAATTTTGGCAAGGAATAGATAGTTCTCTGCCCATGTCAGAGACAAAACGGTAGAAGTATTGAAGCAGTGTTACCACATACACATTCTTTACCGTATTTACTCTAACAGACGCCTTACAGAGAAAATTGACCCGTGTAAACAACTAATTGGGCAGGGTTTCTAATACACACTGGGTCAAGAAATTGATTATTCCAGATCACAAAACAATTAACAACCCCTGACTATTGGTGGCGTCTGTTTGGGGAAATACGGTAAATATATCAATATTCAATAATATTCAAAAGTTTTACCAAGTAATACAAACAGTGCCGACTTACACGTGAACGGTCGGAGTCAGCAAATCGGATTGTTTACCTGTAAATAGGGTTACCCAAAGAAATACATTTCCATCCAGTCCACATTATCACAATGTGATACATGGCAGGGGCGGATACAGCTTTTTGAGAAAGGGGGGCTGGGCACTATTGAGAAAAGGAGGGGTGCATACTTCATTTTCACCTGAGTTTCAATGGCACAAAAGGGGGCGTGCGCACCCCCAACCCCCCTCTGGATCCGCCTATACATGGGAGAGCCCAACACTGTCTCTGTTTACATGACTATTTTTGTAAATATCTTCACCTCTATAGGCGTGTTCACGTATTTCGTTTTTATTTAAGTAACTGAACTGTCTCAATATATGAGATATAATTTGCGTTTTCTATGACAACAAAGAGATCGAAGGCATTTACCATAGTAGAATGGCGATATACCCCACTGCATTATCGAGGATGTCACAAATGCTACGTCTTTGGTTTTGCTTGCTGAGGTGCTAGTTTATTGAAGGTTTTGATTATGAGTTTGATACCAGGCAGTGTCAATTTTGGTCAGAATGAACCAGTTCCATATGCTCGGCTCGTATGAATGAACCAGCGTATGAACTTGATTCAAGGGCGAAAAATTGTCTGTATCATCTCATAGAACCATCATGAATTCTTTGCTATTTCCATTACAAATATTTCATTTGTTGAGGCAAATAGCAAAATAAAATATTTAACAATTTGTCACACATGAAAATGACTCGAATAGTTGAGAAAATCTACAATGTTAACGTATATTTTCCATGTAGGTAACTTTAACGGTTAAAAATATATAAATCATCTGACAAATTTGGTGTTAAGTTGACTTTGGTCTAGCAACAGAATGGCTGGTAAATGTACCCTGTTACGTTTTGGCGTTGTAACCTGAGGTTTGCCATGAACGTGAAAATTCAAGAACAATCGAGACTAACATGGCGCATATTTGCTGAAACGGGACGGCATGCTGTATTGACTTCTTAATACGGACGGATGTATATTGTAATAAACAAACAAATCACAAACATGAACAATTAGATATATATATATAACTTTGGACGGAATCTTTGTTACACACTGGAAATCAGTCGTAAAAAGAGCACAATATGTCAAGATTGTATAAACAGCAAACACGTTGTAAGTGGACTGTAAAAATACAAAGCTTTGAGTAAAGCATTGGGAAAGCAATGCTCGAGAAAGTGTCGTCTTTATCATTAGTGTGGTCAATATTGAAGATATGGGACCTTGCTTAAATACACTCGAGAGTTAGACTGACGCTGTTTGCTGTGAGACAGTCTTGTATGAAAGGAAAATTAATGGTGAAGTGGACATAAAATCGCAATTGCAAAAAAACACCTTTGCCAATCATTCAGAAATAATCCCAAGATTGAGAGCGAGTGAATTTGTTAAAGGCGCATTCAACAGTATTTCGCGCTAAAATCACAGAATGATGGAGGAACAGGTTGGAGGAAAGCTGAACAGGTCTTAGACCTTTGCCACTTTAGTAAAATCCACAAGAACTGCTATGGTGCTGACAAAGCCGGAAATATAATCACGGCGTATATGGGATTCGAACCAATGCTCATACGTTCCTGGCACGCATAAGGGCGGCAACTGTGCAATACAAATTATGATGTCTTACAGGACTGGGCCACCTTTGCCCTCTCATCACAAGAGAGTTTTTACGTAGATATTTAGCATATGATATAATGAATGTACTTAAGCGAAAACCATTAGTCTTTTAATAAAACAACTAATGCCATTTACTATCAAATTGCTTTGAAAAAGGAAGAGGTAAATTAGTACCTTTAGCCACCAGACCTCTTATGTAAACGTTTTGTGATCAAGAAACAAGAGAACAATATTCAAAATATATGGCATCGACAACTTCCCCTTGCGCATTTAACTGGCTATAAAGCTAATATAACATCAGCTGACATTGCTAGTAATTCAGAAAAACACATGCCTGTACATAGTCTCAGACGTTTGGTGCAGTTGGCTTTTTCTCAGAGATTTTATAAAGTGTTTAACTCTTGTCTATATGAATTCAAGCACGTTTAATTTGACTAAACATAACAAACGTTATCCAATCCAGGATATAAAACCGGGCATGTTTCTGAGCATTCATCAATATGTAAAAACATGAACTACGAACCACTTCTTGGAGCCCTACAATCAAAGCTATATTTTGATTATATGTCAGTACTGTAGATACCACAGTTACGGCCATCCTCGATTATCTACAGGGTATAAGCTACGATAAATTGAAACGTATACCCTGAAGATTATCGAGGGATGAGTTACGGTAAACAAACATTCCTTGTTTCGAGCGATGTGCTGCGTTCTCGGAGATTTTACTGACGTTTCAAAGAATTGATGATTTGACAGCTTGAGTCAAATGAGTACAACAGGGTCTGTAATATATTCAAAGACAATTTCCCTGCCTGGAACGTGTTTCGTATTATAAACCATTTCAGTCGAAACATTTGATATTTGGTCTCTTCAAACATGTATAATCATATATGTGAACACAGCATAATAAAAGCTAACTGGCATCGAACCATGTCGTCTAACACCACAACCTAGGTCCTAACATGTCTAGACCACTGGCGCGTATCCCACAAACATGCATTCTCACAAACAGCCGTCCTTAAATCCAAACATTACTCGGCACATTGGTCATTCATTGGGCAATCTCGCCTCGATTTCTCGAAACAAACTTAAGTTTTTACTCAAATTTCAAACTGAGTTTGACAATTTCAAACAGATGAATTTTTAACTCAACTGCATTTTTAACATAAATAAGCCCAAACAACACTTAAGTAATTTATCAACCAAACTCAAATTATCTACCATGTTTGAGTTTGATATCGATTTCAGTGCATTCTGGGAAATGCATTTTCCTGTGTTTTCTCAAATTTGAGTACTTAAGTTTGTTTCGAGAAATCGGGACCAGATATACTATAACTAGCAGCACTGTCCTGCAGTAGCAACCTAACACATAACAGATCAGCAGAAATCTCTTCACGACCACTTTGAGGTCTCACCTGTACCATCAACATCAGAAACAATTCTGGCTTCAACTGACCAAAGGTTTTGGGTAGAACAAGAATCTCGCGGACACTTTTCAGCATTCGTCTTCTGGAGTACGGAACGTAATGGCATCGACGTAAACTTTCAGTTGCAAGTTAGTCCACGCTCGCCTTGCCGTCACAAGGCACCATCTTGATTATATACCATTATTCCGAATCTAACTGGACCAAATAGTTTCGAAGACAATCGCTCCAATATGCATTTCGGCACCCAAGAACGTGCTTACGTAAATGGAGCCAATGTACACTTTCAGTTCCAAATGTTCCTGCCGACATGTGGTCACAGAGCACCATCATTACAAACCATCATTCCGGCTCTAATTGGCACAGTTGTTTCCAACGAAATATGTATCGCTCCAACATGCGTCATCCAAGAACTGCTTACGTGAAAGTAGTCTTCCCGACCAAGACGTAAGCCTTACCAGACCATGGTGTAAATTATGAAGACGTCACGATGTTTTATCTTATCACAGTCGTCCCGACTATAACGTAAGCCTTACTAGACCACGGTGTAAAAATGAAGACTTCACGATGTTTTTATCGTATCACAGCCTGTCAGCTTACAGTAGTTCATCCGTGTAATCTATCCTGTACTGAAGGGCCGGGATGTCCGCATCTTCCTCCACATCATGGACCAGGAGGGTGAAGTAGTAGGTCCCCTCCTTGGGGAGATTCAGGTGAAACGTCTCCGCATTGTCCACAGATCGGATCTCCTGATCAATGTAATACAACAACGATTCTGAATCCTGGGGAGGACCAGGACCTAGATACTGCAACGTTGGCGTCACGGCAACGTTCTGCAGCAACACCGTCACACTCAACTTCCCATCATATGTCCGCATCACTGCTTTCATGCTCAAAGGGCGAATGTTGAAAGCAAACATCGCTGGCCACGTCTTCAGTGTCCCCTCAAACTCCTCCATTGTCGTAGTCTGTGACATTCGTGACCACTTCCGGTTGTTCGGGAGATGGGACAGTTTGAACTCGTCCGGAGGAGCCAGGAAAAAATGTTCCACGAAATATTTAAAAGGCTGAGCCCCAAACTGGACGTCCATTAGCCGGTACTGACCGTCCAGTAAAACGGCGTTCCACACATGCCGGCATGCCTGTACAGTGACTGGGTCGCCTGGTAGGTAGTCCCTATGCTTGGCCACACCCTCCACCAGCTCACACTTCAAACCCGCACACCTGGAAGGTAAACAATGTGGTCAATATGTAATGTCATGGACCATGGTCAGCACAACAGATCAATCCCAGTGTACTATACTCAAACAAAAGGCTTGGATATAAGGTTTATTCATCCTTATTGATTTGATTGATTTGGGTTATTTACTTTGGATAGATTGATTTGTTATTTGTATGCATTAAATGGGACTTACACATTAGGACAGAGAGATACCATGATTCAGTTATATCAACTTGCTGTGAGAGGGAAACCTCTGGTAATACATGTCTCAAATGTTTACAACGTTAATAAAACCAACGAACACGGGTATGGCGAGGGAGATGTAGCCATGGCGAATCAGGATTTGATCCCACAATCTGCCATGTTATAAGAAGGCACCTCTGAGCAGTCACTCACATTAGTCTACCTGTACCTCCAGTGCGTCGTGAAGCAAAGGTTCTGCCAGCCCTGCGCTTTCTATTACTGGTCATTCGTGTTCACTTCTTAAAACGAGTATTTCTGAATATATTATATTGGGTAGAACACAATCTGCCTGCCTTATTGCCACTGCTAACCATGTTACAAATATTCTACAAAGCAGTATTCATTTGTTAGGGGGTTCAGTGCTGGGTTTCCTTGCACATATAGTTAAAGGTTATCTGGATGACATGAGTCATGATTGCATTCCCACGGACAAAGATCTCTACCCTTACAACAACCACAGAACATGGTTAATTGACAAAGGCAAAACGTCTAACTCACAAACATGCAAAATTGATTATGTCATACGCATAATACCCTTTCTAAACATTAACAACGAAACATGATAGGTTATCAGTTTGTTGTAAAGGATTTGACAAGATATGGTTGAACATTACATTATTGAGGCATCAATGGCGAAAATCATAAATGGCATCCGAAACGATGTCATTGTGGTTTGGTTCTAAATGTTTAATTGGTATCCTGTAGAAGATTCGTAAGTTATCCTCCAAATTTCGATGTTCAAGTGCCTATGGAAAAGAATCGAGTCCGAAGAAATATAATGTTCTACCTATTCGTAGTTTTATCCATAGTTCAGAGTCCTGGAGTCAGTACATAGTACCGACAAGGACTTTGAGAAACTACATAAGTTTTAAACCCCAAGCTAGTGAGGTTTCGTTGTATCCATACTGTTCTGGAGGGTCGGTACGAGATTCTGTGAAGTTCAACTGTTTCAGTTTCAGCTTCGGGCGCTACTGACAGGCTGTTAATGGATAGCTCTATGTGATAGATATTCAGCTAGATTAATATAGATCAAACAGAAACAGAAACTAGAAACTTAACATTTGCTAGATACACATATTCTTCATTTTAAGTTCAAACCTAGGCATATATGCGGAACCAAACTCGGGATGTTAAGCCAGTTAGCTAACACGTCACCCTTCACCCTAATGGTAATTTCTGGAAAACACCTGCGTACAAAGACTTCATCATTTGCTAACCTTGTCATCTCTTGGTAGAGCGAGGCGTACGTCATCTTCTTCTCAGCCAGCTGCTTCATCTTCCCTGTGGGGGTGCTGGGTTTGTGTGTCGACTTGCTGTAGTACTCTAGACTCTGGCTGGCCAGCCATCGGTAAAGGGCGTGCGCCTTCACGTGGGGTGTTTCACAGTCACGTGTTATGGCCGCCACGAGACTCTTCATCGAGTCATGCTGCTCGGTCCGAACCTAAAACAGATTGAGAAGTGGTGGAGACGTGAATTCTTGTAATAGTATGACCAGATCCATGGACTTGGGCCATGGATATAGACTTGTTGGCTCGAAGATGACTTCTCGTCTGAGGAGTACCTTCACGGATGCTTTCAAGCATCCTTTGCCCACTAGAACAGGAAGGTCATGTTCAAACGCGCTTTCATCATTATCACCTTTTTCAGTTTCTGGTACATTGTTTTATTATTCATGTATATAGTGTGTGTGAAGAGAGGTTTTATCAGTTGTAAGAACCTGGCCACAATCCGCTTCACTTATGTGAATACAGTTTATTTAGACCTAAACGTGCTATGATGTTGTTACCGATCCAAAAGCATGTCCCTCCCAGTGTTTCACTGAATAATCGAATATTGAGATTAAACAGTGTAGATCCCTCACACTGTTATATCAGTTTGTGCACCCCAACGAGCCAACAGCCCCCCCATGCCTCAATCTGCATCATATCATCTTTATAAATGTATCTCAACTCTCGAATACTTACATCTACATCCATGTACTGGCATCATACTCATCCACTTTCTGCCACCCCATGGCTCTTGAGTTATCAAACGCCCACGCCCAAACTTACACGCAATCTCTCACACACGCACGCAAGCACAATTCTCAAACCTATTTGATTTATATAAACATATTTTATTCACTAATGTGAAAGGGATTGGGGACAAGTTATCCAACTTAAAATATCCTCTCACTAATATTTACATACATGCAATTTCAATTTTATACATCTTAGGAAAGAATACAGAGAAGAGATAGGAAAGTAAAAGAGAGAAGAGAGGAAGGGACACGACTTATGTGATCACTCAAACCTATACCATCCTACACCACAAAGACTTATATTTTATACATTCTCTCCATCCTTCTTTATACAACCTTCTACGCACCCACCTCCACCCCCTCGACTCCCCTCCCATCACATCCCGACCCCCTCCCTTGTCTTACCCTAAGTATCCCGTCCAATAGCTGTAGTGAGGCTGAGATCCAAGAGGAGTCCAGAGACGCTGTGTCCACGTCGTTGTCTCGGCTCCTCTCAGAGCTGGAGTAGCTGCCTGACGACGAGGACGTCACCACAACGCCGCTGTCGGGTCGCAACCTCTGCTTGACGTCCATCTGGAAACAAACAACAAATATATACACTTTAAAGAATAACGATTTTACACACTTCTAGCAACAACAACCACTGCTTCTAAATACACACACACACACACACACACACACACACAACCCACATGTATCACATGCAGTGTCTCAAAATTACCTGGCCTTGATATCTGAACGCTTGAAACATTGGATTTCATTTCAAACCCTTAATATGAACTTCCATAAGGTTCCCTGCCTCAATAAGTCCGTCAATGTGGCACCTGTTCTGCGTCCAAACACATACTAGAATATTAATGTACAAACACACTACGCTGATCAACTGGCCATGTTATATAAACGCTTGAAACACCCACACATTGGGTTCATTTCATAACCCTTAATATGCACTTCCATGAGGGTTCCCTGCCTCAATAAGTCCGTCAATGTTGCACCTGTTCTGCGTCTAAAGACAAACTAGAATATTAATGTCCAAACACACTACGCTGAAACCGGTACACAATACATGTCAACTATCGCCTCAATACAAGCTGACGACATGGATTTATAAAGTACATGTGTTCCTAAATGAAATGGGAACATACCGTGAACGGCCTCAGATATTGATTCACAGGACATTCAAATAGACATTCGTTTGCCTAAGTGAGACAATGTAAGCATATATCATGTTACTTATACGACACAAAATATATCCATTAATGTCGCAGAATTAAACGTTTGAGACAATACAAACCCGACACCATAGACATAGCACACTACAGAACACTGAAACAGACGGACGTGCGCTGCATACTCAACAGAAAACACAGACTGAATCAAACTGGCGTAAATCACGGAATGGGGGTTCGAGGAACATTTACCTGACCTGTGTCCACCCTGTAAATACCTACACCAACGTACATAGACCTATACGATACATATCAGTACACACACTAAACAAAAGAGTCGTTACGGTTGGGCGAGGTATATCGCCGTGAGTGAAGCAGGACGTTCTGCTGTAGTCGACAAATCTCGCCAGCATAACTGAGGATTAAACCCGAGTGTGCTGTGGACTAAAATCTACTTAAATCTGAATAACATTCTGGGAAAGTGTGTGATCGCTCCCCAGACCCCCTGCTAAGTCGTGGTTATAATTCAATGTCTGTCTAACGGTTGGGGATCCCACCCTCCCGGACTCGGTGGCACAGATACCGTGTCAGTACCCTGTCATCCCCGACAACCATGGGCGACCCGTCACTGGACACATCCTACCTCCTGTTTATTTAACGGTATTATTAAACCTTCACTCTCGTGCGGTACGAAAGTTTACAAGTTAGTATCTATATATTTAAGAACGTGTGATGGGCGATTCCAAATATCAGTGCTCCAAATTATATTCGATGCAATTGTCTTTTTTAACTTCTGTCGTATGTTACTGTCGTTGTTCGGATTGACGTGCCTTTGCCTGTGTTTGTGATCCATAAACCCATGCTTATAATACAGAATGAGTGTACAATGGACTCTCAGAGATTTGTTATGATAATAGTATAGGTTTCGTTGCTCATATATCTATTCATTCATTCATTCATTCTCCGCTAACTCAGTTAAAAATTGATCGAAACGAACATTTTAACCATTGCGCAGAAAGGGATTCTATGACATCAACATATCGATTTGCAAATGTCAAGCTGTTAAAAGGTAAAACAAAAGCTTTTGTATCAAAATTGAAGTTTACGAAACTGCTGATTCAGCGTTCAGTAACAAGTACTCACTTTTCACTCATTCCTTCTAAAAGCACTGTCGTTTTACGCCGCACTCCCCAACATCGAGCTATATCATGGCGGCCTATTTTCAGGAGGGTAAATGCTTTCAAACGATAAATACGAATCTTCCGATCTCCACTTTAATCAACGCTTAATCGTCCACCAAAACAACATTCGCTTCACCTTTCAAAGACTGTATAGATTTGTGATTATTTGTTAACAGCATATCCCTATACCCAAAAGAACATTAAACCAACCATGTCAGAATTAACACATTAACAAAGCTATTAACAATCATAATAGGTGTCCTCGATCATCACTTCCGCAATGGCTAACAATTCAATCCGATATCACACTGCCTTCAACATAAACCGCAATGCCCTTCTTAGAAACACACTCATTCGGACACAATCGGGTTATTCCGCTGCGAATGCATATACACATACATATCATTCTTGACAACTCGTGTCATTTTATTAGCATTGGACATTGCCGATTGTATTCAAGGCCAAGTCTTTTCCATACCACGTCCAGTGGCATTCCACGTTGGTAGTCTCACGCCAAGAGGCCGGAGTTCACTATAAGCCACCAAAGCAGCGACCCTTTGTGTACAGATAATGAGATTTATACGTATAAACTCCAGCTCCACGGATAGCCGCGTTGGTGTGGCGAGGCACTTAAGATCCATTCTTACCCCGAAATAACTCCGACCTACCCAGGTATTGTATATCGTTCACTAAAACCTTCCATTGTGTGCTTCGGACGTCATTTTGCATTGAAATCGAACCAAATACGTCCTGCATCTACGTTGTTCTACAACTGAATGAAAACCGAATCTCTGCGCCAAAATTATTTCGGGCCCATGAAACACCTACGTGTGTGGCGCCGTCATAATTTAAGTCTTGTCCACGTCACGCTTACGGCTGTAGAAGAAGAGTTAATCGTTTTTAAGTGGTTTTAATATTGATTTAGTCTCTGTACAGTCGTTTATGGTCTTGTAAACATGCCTGATAGGGTTAGAGCTATCAAAATGTCAGTTTTGTTAGGTCAAACAGTGACTACATTTCAAAATCACAAACTTATATCGATAGAAAATATACTCATCGAAAAATATAAGGGAACATGTGGAATTAGCGCGTAGTGCGGAATTCAAATATTGTAATATCATAATCTTTAAAATGCATTACTGGTTAACTAGTTTAGTCTGTCTGTATATCTCACCTCTACTAGTATAGTCTGTCTATATATCTCACATCTATTAATTTACTTGTTTAGACTCTTTTCGTATCCCACCTCAACAAGTTTAGTCTGTCTGTATATCTCACCTCTACTAGTTCAGTCAGACACCTCAGGTAGCAGGGCCTGTCTATGTATCTCACCTCTACCAGTTTAGTCTGTCTGTATATCACACCTCTACTTGTTTAGTATGTATGTATATGTATATCTCACCTCTACTAGTTTAGTATGTATATCTCACCTCTACTTGTATATTCTTACTCTATATCTCACCTCTACTAGTTTAGTCTGTCTGTATATCTCACCTCTACTAGTTTAGTCTGCCTGTATATCTCACATCTACTAGCTTAATCTGTACATATGTCTCACCTCTACTAGTTTAGTCTGTTTATGTATCTCACCTCTACCAGTTTAGTCTGTCTGTATATCTCACCTCTACCAGTTTAGTCTGTCTGTATATCTCACCTCTACCAGTTTAGTCTGTCTGTATATCTCACCTCTACTAGTTTAGTCTGTCTGTATATCTCACCTCTACTAGTTTAGTCTGCCTGTATATCTCACATCTACTAGCTTAATCTGTACATATGTCTCACCTCTACTAGTTTAGTCTGTTTATGTATCTCACCTCTACCAGTTTAGTCTGTCTGTATATCTCACCTCTACCAGTTTAGTCTGTACATATATCTCACCTCTACTAGTTTAGTCTGTCCATAAAACTCACCTGTACCTCTTTTAGTCTGTCCATATATCTCACCTCTACTAGTTTTGTCTGTCTGTGTATACTCACCTCCACTAGTTTAGTCTGTCTATGTATACTCATCTCCACAGGTTTAGTCTGTGTATACTCACCTCCACTAGTTTAGTCTGTATGAGGCTGGTACTGGCCTGACTCTTCACGGTGGAAGGTCGAGATGACCTCACGCTGCTCCGTTCACTGGTCAGATCCATATGGAGGTCAACATGGCCACCGACCTGTCAACATGAAAACCAGATTTGACCAATATTGACCAGACTGCAATTAACGCTGGAAAATGCGAGCAATTTCCAGTTTAATGTCTTTGATGGAAATAGAAGTAACAATGAAATATCATAACGTATGGAAAATGATAATCAAAACATAAGTGTTACATCATGACATATATTTATGAGTATGTTTCATATTTGGTTGTCCACCCATTCAATACTATTGAATCTAAGAGTCTTGCCATTCCTCACAGACGATAACACGATGATTTTAACCACAATGGGGCGGTGGGGTAGCCTAGTGGTTACAGCGTTCGCTCGTCACGCCGAAGGCCCGGTTTCGATTCCCCACATGGGTACAACATGTGAAGCCCATTTCTGGTGTCCCCCGCCGTGATATTGCTGGAATATTGCTAAAAACGGCGTAAAACCATACTCAGCCAGTCAGCAGTCAGCTTTAACCACAGAAACATATTCGCATTCTCTTAATGTCAGAGAGGATTGGATGGTTCTGGCTGAACGCCAGAGATGCGTCCCTTTGCTGTGACAGTCTCCACTATCTATGATTGCTTCGAATCTCTTAGCTCTGATTATCATCCTTGGTTTGTGACAGCATAAGCATCTATTTTGGGCTTCACCTATATTCTAAGGGTCTACACCTCGTACATCAATTTGGAAATCCGTTACAAATTCAACCCTGATTTTCCCGAATCATTGGTATTGTTTCTCTATTTTGGCATCCTGAGTTATTTGGCGCATTTCTTGACGACGCAATAAAACTTAAATATTGTTCAAAGCTGGATATTGTTCAACTGCTGAGTGTCGAGGAAGACACCGAGTGAGTGAACGTGTCTCTCAACTCCAGATCTAGAAACTGTAGAAGACTCACTTGGATTCCAGGCTTGGCGCTACAGACCGCCCTCCGCGGCCCAGCTGGTGACTCGGACAGGTGGACGTCTATTGCCGACTGGAGCTCCTCCCGTGACACCTGACCACGCCGTGAACGTTCTACCAAGCTTTTGGCCAGTTCCAGGTTTGGGTCACGCACGCCCTACAAGAAAAAAAGTTTGTTAAAACTGTAACCCCGATCATCAGAGCAAATAAAACCAACAGCCATGTTGCATTACTATCAATGATCATTCGCATATATATATATATATATGTAATATATATATATATATACAAAACCCATGGGTCTTGTTATTGAAATCATGAAAATTAAATTATACTATCTGCACAATCCCTAAAGGCACGTTGAGAACTCATGTAACCCAAGGCATGGTGTGCGTTAAAGCTATCTCTCCTTTGAGGGGAGCTCTGAAATATAACTGTAGATGTATTGATATACAGTTGTTTTCTCGATGTTGAAGGGGCCTACATAAATACTTCGAGTTATCCGAGGTTCTATACAGCCACAAGATTGTGGCTATATAAGGTGAGTGAGTGAGTTTAGTTTTACGCCGCACTCAGCAATATTCCAGCTATATGGCGGCGGTCTGTAAATAATCGAGTCTGGACCAGACACTCCAGTGATCAACAGCATGAGCATCGATCTGCGACATTGGGAACCGATGACATGTGTCAACCAAGTCAGCGAAACTGACCACCCGATCCCGTTAGTCGCCTCTTACGACAAGATAGTCGCCTTTTTATGGCAAGCACATGGGTTGCTGAAGACCTATTCTACCCCGGATCTTCACGGGTCTGGCTATATAAGGAATACCCAGGGATGGAGCCTTTACTTTCAGATAACCGTACGATAGATACATGTCTGACTGATAGGTATTCGGAGATTGCTTTGGATCCAAACTTTCATGTTTGAAGAGGCAACTATGGTGAGAAGTGGTTACAATTCAGCCTGATTCCATTGGTAGAGTGCGTACTGCGCAACATACATAGGGAACTAGTCTGATCACAAATAGTGTTCATTATCGATATCACTGGAATGGTTACCATCTGTGAAATGTTCTAGATGATCGATTGAGATCATGTTTTTCATACGACACTGAACTGCTACGATGCTTTTGTTTATTACATTATAATTCTGGTTAGTCTGATGCAGCCCCGCCCTCCTGCTGACTGCCATGACGTCAGAACACGGTGTGCAACACCCTCAAACGAGACTTGGATTCAGCAAACGAGACGAGGATCCAGTCACTAGCACACCCCAAGAAACGGTCACGCAGAAGACCCGGGTTCGATTTCCCACATGGGTTCAATGTGTGAAGCCGATTTCTGGTGTACCCCGCTGAAATATTGCTAAAAGCGGCGTAAAACCCAACTCACTCACTCACCCACTCACTCAAGAAACAAACGCTTCAGAAAAATATAATGCCTCGAAGCATCCACAGAAATTACCATTGTACCTATCTGCAATTGAATAAAGCATTTCTGACTAGGCTGTTATTATATTGAACTATTTCCCCGAGGATAGAGCAAGTAACGAGTGGTATCACAAGTTCTATACGATCGTTCGTAAGCTACCTTCTAGGATCAAAGAGGCTGCCAACAAAGAATATTCAAGAGTTGTGTCAACTATCGGTATCTTCACAGAAGCCTCTGGGCGTTCCCTCTGACTCGGGCATGGCCCTGGTTTCAATCAGTTTCCTCAAACAGAACACAGATCTGTACTGACTGAACTGATTGAACATCAGCTGATTCGGCCTCACCTTTGAAACTGTGGAAAGTACATTATGAATGAGCTCTGAATGTCTAACACTGATCTGACTGGATGAACTAAACTCATTTACAGCAAGATCAAAGATAGTCTGGTCAAAACACCCAATTCCTATAACGTTAAATTGGAGGTATTTTCTATTATGACAATTCTAATATGTATCGGATTATTAATCTCAATCATTAGATGAAAAGGAGTCATCGGTGTAGGCTACACAGGTAATCTTGGAACACCTGCGGGTACATTTACTTGGTGTTTAAATTTAAACTGTTCCTGAACACCAAGCAAGGTACATCTTCGTGCACAGCAATAAATTAACTCTCAAACAATAAAACTCATATCCGGTTCAAATCAACAGGCATACGTGTAGAGTCTGATATAGAAAGTACATTATACATTATACTCAGTATACATGATCATGAAACCGCCTCCGTGGTGTAGTGGTTAGAGCGTCCGCCCGGAGAGCGGTAGGTCGCGGGTTCCATCCCCGACCGCGTCATACCAAAAGACGTTAAAATATGGTACTTGTTGGTCCCTGCCTGGCGCTCGGCATTAATGGGTACAACAAGGACTGGTCGGCTCGGAGTCAGTATAATGTGTCTGAGTGGGGTATTCATGCTTCACTGCGGCATGGTATCTCAGTGGGCTAGCACTATAAAACCAGCTTCAGTCTGGGCTAGTACAAGCAGCCGCAGATACACATACAAACGCATGCACGTCGTCATATGAGCGAAATATTCTCAAGCACGACCATAAACCCATTCACCTCATTTCACCTCACCTCACATGATTATGACTAATGAATATAATTAAATTTGACAGAGAACAGTGTTCTGGGTCTATTGCCGTCTGCACGATGTGATAATATATTAACTAAACCCACTGAATTACGAATTCAATGATCCTACAATGTATACAGTAAATAGAAGTCCACAATACAATAATACAATGTGTCCAGATGCAAAGTGTAAAATAATAAAACTCTCGTCTGCTGACCAAGGTCGTCTGAGGGGTGTCGTCTGCCTTTATCAAGCGCAAGAAAGACGTAAGAGGTCAGAGTCATAAAGAATATAATGCTAGTGCTCACACATACATGTAGTTCCTGTCTTGCTCCTCTGGCTGTCTCATTAACTAACACACTGAGGACTATCAAGACAACAAATAAATGTCCTCTTGTGTATGTGCAGTTTAAAATCCACGTCTTCTTCGAATGGTCTCAGATGATGATTATGACACCAGTGAATTACTCAACACAACGTGTATGAACATTACACCAGAACGAAAGGGGCTCTACCCGGCGCTGTGATGAGTTACTGTATCCGTGTCGTCTGCTCGGAATGTCGTCTGCTGAAGTCTCAGCTTCAAAGCATCAGATGACGATTACGACACCTCACTTTTTCCAGTGAATTACTATCCACAACACAATTGAACACCTCGAACTTCACATTACAACGAAAGGTGTTCTACCCGATGCTGCGATGAGTTACTGCGTCAGTGTCGTCTGCTCGGAATGTCGTCTGCTGAAGTCTCAGTTTCAAAGCAGCTGTCAGCTGACAATACCATCTACACCACTTTGGTTAAGCCTCGTGTCAGATCAGTGCTAATTAAACAAGTCCGCGTGGGGCCTAGCCACTGGGTGAATGACAAAAAAACATGATTGCCACCCGTCAGTCATTCTGATCACATAATATGGTTGTAAGATTGTAAGATTGAGCGTGACCAGGGGAAGCGATTTCACCAATCGGTCGTGACTAACAGTAAAATTACACCTGCTTTGTAAACATCCCATTGTGCAGTTGGTACGAGGCTAAATGACTATCAGTGCACGGAGAGTGTTCGGGGCAAGAGGGTGCATTTAGCCACGTGCCTAGCACTGCTGCGTTGCCAGGGGTTATTTGAGGGTCTATATTGACGGTATGGCTTCGCTGCTTTCTTATGTCCATGATGATCTGATCCTCTTTAAAGAGGATCAAGCCGTATTACCCACACTTCGCGGTGAGAAGTGTTCCTATGTCGTGACAGAATATTGTTTCATGGACATTAGGACAGGGTGAACTCGGTTGACTGAGGTATCACGTATACCCATTAATCTGCGAGTTCGGTACTCAACGACAATGGGCCTGGTCGTCACACTGGATGAATGAGTTGAGGGAGTGGTGGGGTTGAGTGAATAGGTGGTTGTGTGAGTTCAGTTTTACGCCGCTTTTAGCAATATTCCAGCAATATCAAGGCTGGGGACACCAGAAATGGGCTTCACACACTGTACCCATGTGGGGAATCGAACCCGAGTCTTCGGCGTGACGAGTTAACGCTTTAACCACTTGGCTACCCCACCGCCGCGAGTTGAGTGAGTGTTACTTAAACACGTGCCTGTGTAGCTAATAGTTTTCTTGTTTGTTTGTTTGGTTGGTTGGTTGTTGTTTAACGTGCTCTCAGCAGTATTCCAGATATTTGGCAGTGGTCTGTAAATAATCGAGTCTGGACCAGACAATCCAGTGATCAACAGTTAGTGAGTGACTGCCTGAGAGTGATATAAATCCGGCATACTCACAAGTACATTTACACGTGGAGAATGGCTTTGGATGAGCGGAAGAAGGTCATCTAAGGTCACGCCTACGCGATTCCGAGTTAGGACTAAGGACAAAGCATCCGTTAACTGCAAGAGAAAAAATAAAGTGAACTTTGACGATCCAGTGTGTTATTTCTAATTTTCTATGCTCCTCTATGAACAAATAAACCGACAAAAGTTATACACTTGAAATAATTTAGGTTTGATAAAACAAAATTACAAACATTATCAAAACATTATCAAGACTGCAAACTCAAGGCCCAAAACACATCAGTGATACCCGGATGAACAGAGTTCGAAATTAACGTTGGCCTTTAGGCCCGAAGCCGACTGAAAACCACTAGGACCCACAGCTTTTTTGCTTTCCACAGGTTCTTATGGCCGACAGCTTTTCCACCCCCAATAACTAAGAGTAACATTTTGCAGAAAATACCATTCATTAATTTCTGGTTTATATTTCTAAATTAAACTCTTTAACTAAGTTAGTTGCCACATTTTGGTTTGCAGGGAATTACTTATATTGTAGCTAAAATATAGAGCCTACACATTCTGATCAGGACCCACAACTTTTTATGGTTCTGGGTCCTTAGGACCTGCAGTTTTCAGGGTTAAGGGCAAACACTAGGTATGAAATACAACGCCACCGTATAACCATGTCTTGTTTATTTCACTGTCACCACTATAAAACTTGGATGCATACTTTCTTTTGCCAGCATCTCATCAATTGAATATTTGTAATTCAGCTGGAATATTGCTGAGTGCGACATTAAACAACTGATAAACACACACACCATCCATCCTCTTATAATAACAAAATACTAATACACTTAAAATCTCCAAAGAAAAAAAGATAATTTTTAGCGATCACCTCCTAATAAATCTGAGAAAAAAACACAGACTAAAGTTTGCCTTTGAAGATCTTTTTAATATTTCGTTATTGTTATATCATTGGAATTTCATTTGACATAAAATACACGTACCTGTTCAATATTTGGTACCTCCCGTAATTTTGAGGCGGTGCCCTTAGCCCATCTGCTGTCAATTTCAGACGACGACAACAATTCATTAGCACCCATTACGTCACTTCCGCTTTCACTAAGAGGTCCAGCTCCAGACACTTCCGCCTCTAACTGGCCCTCTATCCGCTGCAGATGTTCTGCTAGAAAGGTAGACAACTCTTGCCGGGTGAGTGTGGCCTGGCGGTAGTACAGTCCCTCGGCAAATTGCTCCTCGAACGTCTTCAGCTTCTGCAAGAAAAAGTGAGTAAGTGATTGTTTCAATATGTATATTCATATTTTTCACAATACCGCTGAGTATCGGATGCTTTGATTCAGGAACTTAGAAGTAAACCGAAACAGTGAAACCAAAATACATGCTACGACATTTCCTTAGTAACAAAGAAAACCTATATTGCAGACACCCAGTTTGTCGTGTCTAGTGAAACAAAATGTCTATGCATTTATATACGCACTTACCCTCTTTTATAATGTAACTTAAATTTGCAGTATCAATTAGATCTTTAAGGACTGATATATTTTGAGATACTTGGAAATTGCAAATTATTTCTATACCTTTTGGCAAACGAGAACAAGAATCATATTTCTGTTGTTCTGTCAATTTAGTTTGAGTTAATCAAACACAACATTGTCGACGCCTGACGTTCAAACCTCATTCGATATGTTTGGAGATGTACTACGTGATATATGTTTTAGACATGTTTCCTGATTTCGATATGAAGTTAATTAAGAGTTTTCATTCTGATTCAGCATATGAAACGCTGGTGATATCGCATTAAAAATAATCTGATGGGGTAGGTCTGTCTCATTTGACCTACCCCAAAACCTTCTATGAAGATCACGTCAGATCTTCACGCAGAGCAATCATATCGGAGTAGCAGATCACATTTCAGTGAGACTGCAGAACAGTGATCAAACTTATAATAATTAGTGATAGTTATACTACATGTCCTAATGGTGTCAGCGCTGGTAAAGTTACCTCCTCATCCGGGTCCCTCGTCCAGCTGGAGGCGGGTTCCGACGCCTGCCTGTATTCCAGAACGAGGCGAGTGAAATTAGACCGGTACCCCCGTACAAGCTGGACAAAGTCCCCCATCTCTCCACGACAGTCCTCGGATGCTGCCTTAACTCCCGTCCATAATTCCTCTTCTAGTTCTGTAATGTTCTGTTGGGGAGAACCCATTTAAACATTATTACATGTGACATTCAGACTGATGTCCTGAGTCCACCTGCTCAAAGTGGTCTCAGCGCAACGATGACTGACATACTCTTACACTTACGATAGCCGTAGCGCTAGGATGCAAGTAAGTCATGTGTCCCGATCCTACGGCATTCGTTAGCCTATGATAGTGAGTGAGTGAGTTTGGTCTTACGCCGCTTTTAGCAATATTCCAGCAATATCACGGCGGGGGACACCATAAATGGGCTTCAAACCTTGTACCCATGTGGGGTAGCCTATGATAAGCTATAGTTACGACAGTTCGTAATGTTACAATCGGGACCTTGGTCCATAAAGCGATCTGAGTGACTCGTAGTGACGTAACTGCTATGTTTACAAATTATACAAAGGGGAAGGGACCTATGTATTCAACAGAGACTCATCATATTGTCATACGTTGCGTTAAGATTGTTAAGTGGAACGTAGTCAAGACACTTAACACGATGTAACGTCGTAACGCCATGACCCCTATTTAAACGTTATGGTTTAACATAAACTTGCAATAGCTATAGGAAAAACTCCCGTTTTTCAATTCGGACAAGATATTGTGTCATATAACAATCATTGCGCCATTTCTGTCGTAGGTAATATATACTCTCAGTCGTATGTTACGATTGTTGCGTAAAACGAATCCGAGGCTAGAATTCCGTAAAGGGAAGTACACGATCATATGACCATATGTTTGGTAAGAAAGAGTCGAAAGTATCAGTGTTGAAAATGTGCTCGCTACTTATAAAGGGAAATAAAGGGACGTAACCACGCCCATCTACGACACTCGGAAAGAACGTGTGTGTGTGTGGACCACTACCACAATTCACTCATATCTACGTTTGCTGAACACGAAGGAAGGAAGAGAGAGATTAAAGAAATCGACGTGTGAAGTGAGTGAGTAGAGTTAAACGCCGTTTTCAAGTCCAGTTGTATATGGACGAGGCAGAGGTACAGATATGCTTCGTATCTACGTAAATTACGCAAATATTTATGTTAAAACTCAATTCCTATTAGGTCTATTGCGTACAATACGCTTGAATTTTTGTAAATACTCAATAAATTTGATCTTACATGCGCACACACACAAAAATGTCAAATCTTAGCTTGCGTACCGGTGGATAGATAAAATAACTGAGGAATATTGAGAGGTTCTATTTCAGGACATGAACTTGACAACTTGCAGTCCTTCTTATCGTTTCTCATATTACAGATCAAATATAAATAACAAACACTAAAATTTAAATATTATATTTTTAAAATGAATGGAAAAGCAAAATACCCAATTGAGTTTGAGTGAGGTGAGTACAATTTATTTTGTTACTCAATTACTCAAAGGAATATTAGGATACCCATTTGAGATGAACACAAGCGAGTACATAACTCAATGACCAAAAGTTCTCTGTAGCTCTGACGAGGGAGGAAAGCCAGAAGTCATGTAGGTTTCAGACGTTTACCATTCTAGTGAAGCCCATAAGCATGGTGTGCCAAACCTAGAAACACAATCTGGACGAACCGGGATCACAACATATGACCATAGGTTCCTGGCGTGACCAAGGGAACCAACTCTGCAGAGCGAATTGCGGCGCCTTAGACGACTTGGCCACCCGTGGCCTTTATTCCTAGAAGTGCTTGTACAGATCATGAAAAACTACTTACAGTAACGGTATTACACTTCACATATAAGTGGCATTTTGGTAACTAGCTGAAAATATTCAGAAACATGTTGGTGTTGATTGAGCAATACCCTGAAAATAGATGTTATAATGGTGGTGTTGAACACTTTGAAACAACAGGGCCATGCGAAACACGCCAATCATTGTTAATGCACTCATACTCGTTACAAGATATATTTGGGATGTTATTTAAAAGAGGTCTCCTTTTAAAAAGAAGGTGCATTGAATGATGGAAAGTATTTAACACCACTTCACAACAGGGCATGCGCATTAGATGACATTCCAAGTCTTTGAATCAAGGGTATTATGGCATTTAAAGGGGATCTCCGTTTCAGAAAGCTGCATGGAAGAAGGCGGAACAGTGTGACACCACTTCAAAACAACTGGGCATGCGTATTAGTTGGCATTCCATGTCTTTTAACCATGGGTTATATATAATATGGCATGAAGCTGTTGATGCAAACTCACACAGCATCCGGGACAAACACACCGTTCACTGTGAAACATTTGTCTTGATTTAAAATCACAAACAGTGCATGAATGAGTAATATGGGTTCATTTAAGCCGTTTCAGCAGTATTTCATCGAGGACACCATGACCTAACTTTGGTACCCGTGTCCGAGCTTTCGATATATATAGAGCGAGCACTTCAACAATAACTCCCCACCCTCGCTCCATAATAGACTGTTGGCAAACCAGACTTTGCACTTTAACTGACCACTCAGCAATATTCCACCTATATGACGGTGGTATGTAAATAATCGAGTCTGGACAAAACAATCCAGTGATTAACCACATGACCACGCAATTTGGTTACGATGACATGCACCAACCAAACCACACGATCCCGTTAGTTGACTCTTACGACAAGCACGGGTTGCCGAAGATTACATCTAACCCCAGTCTTAGGTGGGTAGCGTATCCTTATCGAACGTGTTTTGGGCTTGTCTTCCATTGAGATGAATGTGTTGTATAATTGTGCTCATAATATCATCTATCTACTTAAACATTTTGGATTTGATAGATCTGCATCAGTTTATGAAATTACCAAATTACTTCTGAGAAAACGTACTGCTTTCTTAGAATAAATAAATATTTTGTTCACCTTACCTTTCGTATAATGTTAGCAGCATCCGAGTTAGTAAAGACACACCAATCAGAATTAGTAGAAACTGGATCAAACAAGATTATACTGGATATTGAGCGTTCACTTGCTTTCTTGGCGATGTTCACATCGTGAACACTGCGAACACTAAAGCTGCCATAGTCACGTGGGTCACGCGTAACGCTGGAGTCTAATCTCCACCAGTCATCGTTCAATCCAGGTCCTTGTCCATACTGGAAAGGACCGGTTTCATCCGGTATGGACAGGACGTCGGAATCTTCACTGTCAAGGTCACTGTCAGTAGCGTCACTGCTCAGACCACCTGGGGAATCTGTCTTCCGGCTCTTCTCCGTACCGGATCTTCTTCTCCCGGACTTCAGACCACGCCTCTTCCTCACGTTAGCACTCTTTGGTCTCACCATCCGGGTTCTTGTGGGCGTGGACTCTTCGTCTTCTTCCGTGATGGCGAACTCTGACAAGCTGTGGTTCCGCCTTAGATGAAGGCGGTAGTTGTTGCCATGGTCCGACGGCGCCATTTCCGGTCGATGTCGCGTCCCCGACCCGTACAACAACCTCGGGGTGCCAGGAACTTCCTGGTTCGACTCAAAGAAGTGGCGTTCCAGTTCCCTCACGTCCACTCCCCCAGGGCGGCCCCTCCCGACCTCGGAGATCCCCGAGTCGTGGGAATCGGACAGCGCCAAGCCCTCCTGGTCATGCCTGGAGATGCTTGACCTAACGGCCACCGTCGCCGGGCCGTTGCAAGTGCTGAAGCCGCTCCCCATGCCGATGTCGCCGGGCGGCTACTGGCCGTGGGTGGGTCTCAGGTGGGATAGCGTCATGTGGTTTTCATGCTGAAAAGGATATGTACACATGAATACATACGAAAAGTTAGGCTTCGCTTCAAATAAATTGTCATGCTGTTGATCACTGGATTGTCTGGTCCAGACTCGATTATTTACAGACCGTCGCCATATAGCTGGAATATTGCTGAGTGCGGCGTTAAACTACAAACCAATAAATCACATAAAGTAAGGAGAAAAAAGAAACTAAACCAGTTGATTTCATCTTTTTATACAACGAATGTATTGGTGCTTGGCATGTTTTAAAGTTTGAATAATAATATTTCAAACTTTGAATAATAATATTTCAAACTTTAACAAATAAGATTTGCCTAATACACAATTGCTGACGAGAATCGAAATATTATCGAAAATCAATCTGTTTGGGATTTTCTTTTTACAGAAATTTACATTTCAAAACGTGGTAAGGACTATGTGTTTGCAAATTCGTTTCTTATCCTATTCTTATTGAACCAATTCTATTGTACAAAAAATACCTAGCCGCAGATTACTTTTTACAAACTGTTACTGGAATGAGTGATGGTGAAATAGACAAAATCAAATCAAACAAGTTTTTCAACTATCAATACCATAAGCAACGACCACTGTGCACTTTCTTTTGCCTCTCAGTATAGATAACAAACGTTGTTGAATGTCAGGAGAAACAGTCAATACAAATGTGTCACAAAGATAAGAGTGAGTGAGTGAGTGAGTTCAGTTTTACGCCGCCTTTAGGAATATTTCAGCAATATCTCGGGTACAGCAGAAATGGGCTTCACACATTGTACCCATGAGGGGAATCGAACCCGGGTCTTCGGCGTGACGAGCGACCGCTTTAAGCAATAGGCTACTCCACCGTAGATAAGAGTTAGTTAGTAAGAGTAAGTTAGGTATGACGCTGATTTGAATATTGTTAATCGTCCTTTCAACTCGATGGTAATGACACCCAACTAACACAGGTAAGATGTTTGTAAACCGAAAATCTTCATAAGAAAATCTAACAGTTACACACACATTCGTGACCAACTCGTGTTATTCTGGGACAAGCCTTCTTGGAGGTTACGGAAAGAGGCGAGTGGTGACGAATGTTACACACTATCATCGTACGACAAAGGGGCGCAACTCCACACTATATAAAAAATATACCGAGAGAAACAAAAAAGGGAACACCACTTCAAGGCAGTGTTCCTATGTTTATTCTCAGATTTC